CGCCTTGGTAAGCGCGGGTCCGCATGTAGTAACGGGCGGCTTATGCCAGTGCGGCTCTATCCAAGCACGCTGCTATGCCCATGCGCCGTGTGTAGTTGCAAACAAGGAAGAGGAAAAAAAAGCCATGCGACCAGAGGCATGAGCAAGCCTGAGTCGCCACGTCAAGCCGAGCCGGAGACTTGTGGCGGTGCAACGTGACCTGTCAGTGACACTTCGCATTCAAGGCCCGAAGGGGGCAAGGCGGCTGGTGCGCCAACGACAATGTATACGTGGGCTGTGCCCAGCGAACAGGTGCAGGTGCAGGCGCAGGCGCAGGTGCAGGTGCAGGCGCAGGCGCAGGCGTAGGCGCAGGCGCAGGTGCAGGCAGCAGGCGTGGGCCCACTACCCGCAAAAAGCGAACCAGTCGTCTGGTATGACATCATGCTGAGAGCCCTGGTCGTGCTGTAGGTCATGCACTAGCGTCCGATTGCTCTTGTTCCGTCATGCCCATTGCACGCGCGCGCGCGCCTGGGGTTGCCCCGTCGCTTTGGAGAAGGAAGCCCGGCCAGCAGCGCCAGAGACGAGAGAGCAGCTCTGGTGATACATTGCGGGCCCCGGGCTGCCGCCACATGCTTGTACGTAAACCCACGCTGCCGGGCTGTTCATGACAAGGCCAGGCGGGGTCCTGCCTCCCCATTGGCTGCCTCGGCGCTATAATTGGCAGCCGACCTGTGCTTTCTTCACACGCGAGAATGCAGGGCAAGCCATGGCCGTCACACGGGAAAAGCCACTAGGGCTGAAGGCGGCTAACACCATATCGGACAACCATCAAGTCTTTTCATTATCTGCATGTCTAAGTATCCTCGTGCTCCATCTAATCAATCGCTAAACTCTCTCCAGCGGAGCAGTCCTGGTGCTGCTCGACGAGCAAGAGTGCACGGAAAAATATGCCAAGCGCAAAAAATCCCCCTCCCCCCCCTTCTCGTTACAACCATGACGAGACTTGCTAGCCGCAGCCACCGCCGCCGCCGCCGCCGCCGCTGCTGCTGCTGCTGCTGCTCCACTCCCAATGCGGCGCGCGTCTTGTCCTGCCCAATTCTGTCCCTTTCGGATCATACCGCGCCTGCGCTCCAATCGCATCAAAGGACATGTCGTAGTGTGTGTGTGTGTGTGTGCGTGTGTGTGTGTGTGTGTGCGTGTGCGTGTAGTGTGCCTTGTGCCTCGCCGGGCATCTTTGTCCCACCAACTCCATGTGCCGCCTCCCACATCTAAGCGAATGCCGGTCCGGTTGCTTTGACGTAACAGGATGGGCTACCCATATTCCCTGCTCGTGCAGAATATGTCCACTCGCTAAACGTTTCCCACCTTCTGCTCCGGTTGGTGCGCCGAAGCGCCGCCGCCGCTAGCCCGCACCGGGCCTAGTGCCAAAGCTTTCGACAGCATGCAAAACAGTGCATGTCATCGGTCCAACTTGCTGCTGACCGTGGCCGCAGGCCAATCGATCGGAAATTGACCATCCACATCCCTTCCCATGCAGCGGTGGAGACGACGAGAACGGGCCGGGCGGATGTGCTTGTTTCACCTCATCGGTGCGATTTGTCGACGCTGCGAAATGATGGTGCTCAGGCCTGGCTGTATTGGTTTGGTGCATACCCCGCAGTCGGCGTCTGGCCCTGTGAGCCTTCTGAATCCGGCATAGGACTGCTGTGGTGGTAATGCGCCTGAGATGCCATGACGTGCAGTGGAGGGCTGTTGACTTGGTTCCTGGGGGATCGTTCAGCGTGCCTTCGTCTTCACGTCCAGATAGGTGTAGCCACGAACCCGCTGGGATAACCCGATTGCATTCCGAATGCCATGGCGTGCTCTTGCGGGGCCGAGTAAGGCGGCAGCAGCGCTGCAGGTGACCCCAGGGGAGACGCATAGCTATTCGATGAAGTATACGACGTGCTGCTTGTTCCATAAGCATCCACGGGTGCCGACCGAGGAACCTCGAGGTAGGGCGATGTCGGCGTCGACGCCATGCCAGGCGACACAAACGTAAGCGGCGACGGTGCAAACGCAGGCGACAGGCTTTGGCCATAGCTGTACTGAGCAATATGGTTCTCGAGATCTTGATTGATCGACTCGAGCGCATAGGCCGGCGGCTGCTGCTGCATGGGAGCCACGGCCACGCTCTGTTGTCTCGCCCAGTCGCGCCGTGCCTTGTATGATGCTGCCATGTCCATGGGGAATCGAATCAGGTATGCCATGGTCTGTACGTGGGAGCCGTATCTAGGATCCTGGAATCCTTGCACCAGCTGCGTAATCTCCTCGAGTGGGCGAAGAGACAGGTCGGCGACGAAGACGGATGCAACGTCGGGAAACATGGGCTCCAAGGCCAGCGCCGTGGCGTAGAAGTGGGCGAGGATGACCAGCACCGTCACGTCTCCGCGTTTGGCGGCCAGAAGCGAAATGGGCACCCAGAACAGCCACTTGCGCAGGGCGTACAGCTGGTTGAACTGCTCTTCCGGGCTCTGTGGCTGGCTCGAAGACCTCAAGCGGTCGAGGTAGCCCTTGAGCTGATCTACCCATTTGGATTCCTGTTCGTTGCGCACCAGGTACGGCTGCAGGCGTTGCAGAGAGGCGTGGATGTCGGCAAGGGCGTTCATGTGTTCTCGTCGTGCTTCTTGCGAGACCATGGTGCTGATGGGGTTCATGAAATGTCGGTTAGGCATGGGCGTGTGCTCTGCGATGTAGTCGGCAAACAATGACTCGTGCCTCCAGGGCTGCATCGACTGAATGACCTGTTCTCCTTGTTAGCCTACAAAAAAAAATCCCCGCCACTGCCGCCAGTAGACTTACTGTTTTTGTGCCAGTAACCAGAGAAGCCCAGCCTCGCCTGTGCGCCTTGGGTTAGTTTTCTCTCTGTGTGTGTGTGTGTGTGTTGCTTCCAGGACAGGTGGCCGAATGCTTACCAGTCAGTGGCCTGCCACGCAAGTAAAAGAGAAGATGCCAGTATGGCATCCGAGTTGTGTTTCGTGAAATTCGTGATTCCGTCGTGCAAGCCCTTGAGGGCCAGACTGGCGTGGTGAAAGGCAAGATTACGTGTTTCGGTTGACTGAGAGATCCATGCCAGATGTGAGGCAGAAAACGCGAGTATACTGTGCATAACGAACGAATGGGAGGCGGCAATGCTCAGGAATCTAGCATTGGGTCAGTTGGCTGAGACGAGGCAAAAAGGAATCCAGGCACGTACTTGGGCATCATGTCTGTCCAGAGGGTGGATTTTGAGGTGCCGTTTCTGAACATCTCGTTGGAAATCGAAGACAGATGATGTATGAGGCGCAGGTCCACCATGGTCAAGGCCCGCCATTGTGGGTGAGGATAGACGCGAAGCTCTGGGAAGGGAAACTCGCCCGTGTGTCTCCAAAGTTCAATGGTGGCCTCGATTTCTGGGGTCCAGAGCAGGTTGGGTTGCTGGGGCGATTGAGGGGATTCTGGCAGAACGGCCGTGGGACTGTCCATGTAGTCGCAGCGGACTTGGTGCTTTGTGCAATTGCGGCTGATTTTCATGTTAGCGGGTACAGGGAGGGGGCATGCTATGGCGACAAGGGCTCGTGGTTTACCATTGTGGGAATGTCTCGTCACAGCGAATGTGCCTCCTCTTGCAAGTTTTGCAACCCTTTCGAGACTTTGTGTGGCTGCGCCTGGAAGGACCACCGCCGGGGCCAGCCATTTTGATATGTGGAGGAGGAGGGCGAGAAAGTGGGCTGAGGTCGTCTAGTGGAGCCGATGTGTGTGCGGCTAGGATTGGCTCACGTCAGGGTAGAGACGAAGGTGGTGGGCAGTCTTTGTATGCGGCACCGAGGGAGAGAGTGAGAGCGAGAGCGAGAGCGAGTGAGCGAGTGAGTGAGATGGCCTGGGGGGTGAGTATATTGGTGGCGGGTGTGTGTGTGTGTATGTAGGTGTAGGGTGTAGGGTGTGAGTGTGAGTGTGAGTGTGGATGGGAGTAGGTGTGAGTGTGTGAGTGTCGCGGCGTTGTGGTTGATGAAAAAGCGAGGGTAATGGGGTCGAAACCGGTGACTGGATTGGGCAAGGAGGATGCTGGGTGGGTGGTGGAGAAGGGCGTGGTGGTGATATATAGTGCAGGGCCAGAGGGGAGGGGGGGGGAGGAGGATGGCAGGTGGGATGGATAAGCTCAGATGGCTTGTTTAGGGCTGGCCCAGATATTGACGCACAGCCAGCCAGCAGCGATACTTGGGACGGACAGGCAAGTCGGGCACGACAGGACAAGGTGACAGCGGATGGGGTCAAGCTCGTCTGCAGGCTGCCCCCTGCACCGCGACCATGCAGGAAAGGGACAAGGCTACGAGACTAGAGGGTCGCCAGGCTGAGGAGCGACTTGGGTGACTTGGGTGCAGTGGGAGCAAAAGCGCAGGGTGACTTGTGCTCGGGTGGCTACAGACGACAGAGGTCGAGCAACGGGGCTCAGGCGGGTTAGCAGAGGGCATAGCGCCCACGCAAATAGCAGTGACGCCACGAGCGGCGGCGGAGGGGGAGACTTGGGTAGCAGCCGGCGGCGAGGGGAGAGGCCAGCACTAGCAGGGAGTGCAGAGAAGCTTGCGGGAGCTACACGCGATGGACTGGTTGATTCACAGATGGGACCGGCTGGCTCATGCTCGTATGACATGGGCCCGGTGTAACTCCCGTGGGGATTAAGCTTCTGTCCGGCAGCCGCCATGGACCCCGAGCCTTTTACACACGAGCGAGAGGTGAAGGCTGCTCCATTCATCACGTTGCAGGCATTTGGGGGGAGCACGGCGTGGCGGGCTGGCTAAGCTGCGAGGTGAGGGCTAGCTGAGGGGGAGTGGCGGGACGGGGACGGGGACGGGGGTGTAGTGGGTGGGTGGATAGGATGCAGTGATGGCTGATGGAGTGATGATGATTGTGATGGTGGTGGTGGTGGTGGTGTTGGTGGGTGATGATGATGATGATGGCGGCGGTGGTGGAGGTGGTGGTGGAGGTGGACAGGGCAGAGCAGCAAGTGCGTCGAGCATCCCTGCGCGGCGAGACTGGAAGCGACGCAGGGCCAGATAGGTGAATGTCGTCTTTTTTGGGCCGACGGGTCGTCAGCTGGGGGTTTGGGGGGGGGTGCGTCGCCTCGCCGGTGCTGCGCCCCCCCTGGCCGGCAGTCCTGGTCAAACCGCTGTGTGGACGGCGAGGTCTGGCAGAGAGGGTGCGGGCGCAGGCGCAGACGCAGGCGCAGACGCATGAGCCGCGTGCAGGATTGGGTGTGGTTGGGCATGGAAGAGGGAGTGGGTATGGGTAGGGGGAGCGAGCGAGCGAGGGGGAGGGCAGGGCAGGGCAGGGCAGGCAGCACAGCACAGCACAGGGCCGGTATGGAAAGGCCCAGAGGCGTAAAAAAAAAACGGCCATTGGGGTCCGACGACCGAGGAACAGCCAACAGCCAACAGCCAGCAGCAGCCAGCAGCAGCCAGCAACCAGCAGCCAGGGGGGCGGCAGTATGGATCAAAGAGGAAAAAGAAAAAAAGGAAGCAGCGGCGGGCGGGCACTACGCTGCTGTGGTCCGTCAGCGTCGGCTTGGGTGCGGGCGAGCGGGCGTGCGGGCGTGCGGGCAGAGGGCGAGCACGCGTGAGGCCAAAGAGGCGTCGTGGGGACATAGGGTGAGGTCGCAGCAGACGGTTTGAGGGCAGGTGACGCACGAGGAGCTATTTTTGACGCGCGAGATATTGGACGGCCCCGGGGCGTGCCATGGCCACCAGCGCCGCCGTTGGAGTATGGATTGGAGTCTGTGTAGTATGGGCGTGAGGCGGGCTCGCTCGCGGCAGAGGGTGTCTCCTGGGGTTGCAGTCCGTCAGTGTAGGTGCGTGTGCGTATGTGCGTGAGTAGGCAAGTGTGTTTGTCAGTGAGGGCGTCTGGCCAGGGGTGTGCGTGTTGGAGCCGAGCAGCAGCAGCAGCACAGCAAGAGCAGCAGCGGCGGCGGCGGCGGCGGCAGCGGCAGCATCCATCCAGCAGAGGAGACCGGCGGGCAGGCGGGCAGGCGGGCAAGGAAGAAAAATTAGCAGGGCGCGCGCCCCGAAGCTGACCCGGGGGGGGGGGAGGGCGTCGACGATTCGCGCGGCGTTGGAGGGAGCCGTTGGCAAGGCCCAGCCACGCTATCCGCCTGCTACTGGTCGATCCCTTCTCCACGCACGGCCCGACCGCCGGCACATGCTCCAAACACGCTCCTGTGCCTGCTCACCCTCACCCTCACCCTCATGCTCCTTGCTTATGCCCATTGCGCCACTCTCCGCCTCGACCTGGGCCGCTTAGTGTGGCGCCCGGCAGCGTAACCGCTCTATTCTTGTGCCTCTCCGCCAGGCACACACACACGAGACACCTCACCTCTCCCTGCCATTGCCATGGCAATACCACTCCACTCCACTTCGCCCTGACGTGATGACTCAGCAGCCCTCGATGGCTCCCTCACCCACACCACACACGTCCCTTGGCCTGCCCATCCCATCCCGCCCGCCATGCCGCCTCACCCTCTCGCCAACGGCCGCCGCCCCTGCTGCCGACTGCCCTTCCACCAACCACCTCCCACATCACCCCATTCCACGCTGCATGCCGCCCCCGTCGCCTGCCTCTGTCTCGATATTTCCATGCACGCCTTGCCCCAGAGCAACTCTAGCCGACCAAATGCATCTTGTCGAGCTAGCCGGTCCACAGCCCACAATGGGCCTAGCCGCCCGCTTGGGTTAGCCTCCTTCCCTCTGCGGCCTATTCTTAGCATTAGCCTCTCTTTACCCTAACAACGTGCATCCACCTTGCATCCAACAAGCACCTTTGCCTGCCACAGCCTCTGCTCTTCTGCTTCTGCGCCCACGCCTGCAATCAAGCCCTACACACGCTCGCAATCCACTGCATGTCTGCACCCTTTGTCTGCCTTTTGCCCATGCCGACGACTGCCGCACACACACACACACACACACCCGCGCCCACGCCCACGCCGCATTTAGCATTTAGTACACCGAGTCTCTACCCACTAGCGCCCTCACTAGCTACACATACGAGCTTGCCGACAAGATTCTACACTGCTACACGGTGACGTCTGAACAGGCATCGCCGTGTATGACACCAGTGCCTTCGGTCACGTCCGAGATACACACACACACACACACCCACACACCTACAGGCCCCACTCGGCGCACGTTGGCCCATCCGAATCCCAGCCCGCCCGCAGTACTCTCTTCTCCAGCTGTCTGCAAGCCACATCCTACCTGCACCACCACCACCACTACCACTATGCAAAGCATCCTTCTCCATCTGTCGATAAATGGCTATAAAAAGATTCCCTTCTGCCATACCATTGGCGCACTACCCAATTGGCCCCGACCAGCGTAGTATGCGACACAAGACTCTCGTGTTACCATCTGATGTCACGGGCCAATGGCGTGCACAAGGCCTGCCCGAACCCTCTCTCGCTACATCTGCAGCATCCACCTACATCATATCAGCAATCTGATCTTGACCAAAATCTTGTTTCCAACGCTCCGCTGCTGCATATTGCCAATACTCTGTTGCACCACAGCAACCTTTCTCGCCTTGCCCCCCCCCCCAAAGAGAAAAAAAAAGAGCCACTCCCCATGTCCATGCAAAATGATCAAAAAATCCATTGCCCTTGGAGAAGAAAAATTCCCCAACCTCCCCAATCACACACTCCCATGGCTAAGATTCCATGACCAACCATTCCCCATCTCTCGTACCATGAAACATTCGGACCGGCCATCGAGTCGTTTGCAGCAAGCATCGACAGGACGACTCCCTTTTCTGTCAAGACACACACACCTACCAACCCCCACAAGATCGACGCCAGGTCCCCTGAGTCACGCGCGCGAAGCCCAGTTTGTCCCCTACACAGCTTTGCCATGTCCAGGCAAACCCAGATCCATGCCAGATGCCCAGCTTGCCGATGACCCGAAATTTTTAGCTCAAATGGTCCTCGCCCTTTCTCATCTGCCTCCCGGCCGGAGCGACCAGGAAAAATGCCCATGTACATGTAAGCTATGTGCGCCCGCCTGCGTATGCGCCCACCACGCTTGCATGTATCCTACACAAGCAAAGCAAGCCCACACACACACACACACTCTCTCTCTCTCTCTCTCTCTCTCTCTCTCTCATTTCTTTCCTCCAACTCTCTTACACCATTCATACGCGGCCCAACCCTCGCTTCCATCTACTTTGACGGGTTTGAATTCGTTCTGCGCCGTGCACAGCCAGGGTCCCCCCCCCTACAAAACGAGTTTAGCGCCATTTTCTTTTTGTCCACGCTTGATGCCCGGGCAGGGGCGGAGGATAAACGGAGCATGGACTTTTTGACTAGCACTAGCCAACTACAGTGCAGGAGAGACAGTCTGAGAGTCCGATTGCCACACTTACTCCAGGAAGCTCTGTTCTCACGGCCTTGACACAAATGTCGGCTCTTCTTTTTTTTCCCTTCCCCATGTTCCTACTTTTGGATTACTTATCATCGCTTGGTGTTGTCTTTTCCTTCATCTCCCCCTATCTTACCCTACCCGCTCGCACAATATCCTACTCTCGACTGGAAATTTCGGCCTCTTTGCTAGTACTTTGCTTGTCCTTTTGCGTCCATCGTGCCATGCATGGTGCCATCATCATCGTCGCCATCGCCATGGGCTCTCGTGACCATCATGACATGTGCATGCGCGCTATACTCTCATGGGCATCGTCCACCTGTCGTGCCTAAATGCCCACCTCAGGGTGAAATAGAATGAGGGGTAAATTAAATTACAATGTCGAGATAAGCTGCACGCCCAGCAATATGGCAAATAAAGGTACATACGCTATAGCAGACGTGAACTAGCCACAAAGCCTGCATATCCGTAAGGCCAAATGCCAAGTTGACGACAGGTTGCTACGTTGAAATACATGTCACTGCAAAGTAAACAATGACAGGCATGTTTGGTCTGCATATACAATGCGAAATCAAGGATTTATCCCTACAATAAAGTATAAAAATCCAACCAACATGAAAATAGAGTCATCATGCTAAAAATAAAAAGTAACAAGAGACGTACTCTTAGCGAACGACTCCACAGACGTTGTATCACCATGGACCATTTTCATTTCTTCTTTCCGTCGTTTCCCTCCAGTCTTTACTTGTTGTGCTTGGCAACGGGCAGACACAGGAAAAATGAAATACAACGGCAAAGAGAAAGGAGAACCAATCACTGCATACACAGAGAGACAGAGAGAAGGGCATTAGCAATAGACTGAAAAAAAGACCACGGAGTTAGCTTATAATAAAGTGGAATATGCATCAACATGAATGTGTCCTACTTGAATACTACCAAGATAACTAAATGAACCACGTATTTCTATAAAGACACAGCAAAGGATAGAAACTACCAACATACAGCAAACTACTTGATTGCTTGCTTGCTAATTCATGAAGATGCTACATGATAAGAAAAAAAATACTCCACAACATATCTTTACCCGTTTTTACTTTTCACTTACTAGGTTCCTAGCAATACATACACATGTCAACACAATAAACACAAAAACACAAATAGTTTCAAACAACACCGCTCTTCAAAAAATAAAATAAAAAAAATATGCAGTATAAATTACTGCCCACTTATGGCATGCATGAGACACAGTATTACGCTCCAACCGCCGTCTTTTACTGCAAATCCTATGATTGCGTTATACCATGTGCTGCTTGCTGCATCAGCACGTTGAAATCACTCTTGAAAAGTCAACTCACCGACAAACAAACAAACAAACAAACACACAGAGTTCAAATCAAGAGCTCTAACAAAGTTCCCAACTACACCTTTACCAAAGCATTCCATACATGGCACTGTGGGAAAAAAAATGAACAAGGCTACATATTTTGCTTCTCCTTCTATTCTCCTACTGGATATACTATGTATCTCACACTACATACTATCTCACTATCTCACTTTACATACTATTTCACACTTGTGCACTCATACACTTACTTACTTACTTACTACCTAGCTATTCCACTAATAAGAAGAGGATGAAGAAAGAAAGAAAGAAAGAAAAAAAGCTAAACTAAACTATCTACTTTGCTACATACATATATCAATACCTCGCGTGTGCCATGCGCTGGAGATATGGAGAAGAAACAAACAATCAAATCAATCAACGCCGGGAAAATGGTCCTTTCATCCCATTTCGTCCCATCTTGTCACACCGCATCTCAGCGAGAGAGAGAGAGAGAGAGATAAAAGTCAGGGGAAAAGGTACAACATTCAAAAAATGCGCTCGCTCAGAACATTGGCAAAAAAAAAGCAGAAGAAGAAAAAAACGTCTATATATGCCGTGTGACACTCCTTTGCTCCCACCCCCTTGCCGTAAATGCTTTCATCGATTCATTCGTTTCGTTGTTCTCCATCAACCAGTTAACCTGCATACAAACCACGCACACACACACACGCACGCACGCGCCTGTGCTAGCAAACGTCTTCATGTGGAGACTCCCTTTGGCTTTTTGTTTGGTATTTCCCCCTCTTCCTCTAACCCATATATATCCCATATTCAACGCCCGCTTGCACCACTCATGAAACAAGTATCGCGAAAATCTGCAGTTTACACACTGTATAGCTCCCGGAATCGAGCCTGTTGCTCGGCAGGAAGTCCTCCGATGAAAGCATCAAAGTTGGAGATCATGCCTTTGTACTGCTGAATCACCTACTCACACCATTAGTTGACTGCAAAGAAAAAACACTACCAGCAACTCTCTTACCTTTTGGAACGTCTCTTGGACCTGCCGTCCTGCAGGGCCTCGAACCACGTTACGGTCAGCCGTTGACATGTCGCTAAAGAACTCGAGCAACGATTGCTCCATGGCACCAGGGTTGGCCAGAACAATCAGCATGAATCCAGTCAGAGCGTGGCACTTCTCGTCTGTCCACTGTACTTTCTTGATGGCTCGGATGAATGCGGGAGCAATCTGCGCAAGATGCACAGCCAGCGAGGGTCCGCATCCAAGACCTAGACGGCCCAGAGCAATGGCTGCATTCTCGTTCAGCGACTCAGGAGCCCGTTGGTCAAACAAAATGGTGCCCAGTTTCTGCAGTAATTTCTCCACATAGGGCTGCATGCCTTCCTTGTGACACATGGCAATCTCGCCCACAGACCAGCAGGCATTGTTAATAACGGAATAACCGGTCTCCAGGCCATCAGAGTCCACTTGAGAGACTTCGAGCTGCGAAATGAGAATGTCCAGGATATCAGGCAGACACGGCTGAAGCTGTTGGAACACATAAATGGCACAGTCTCCAAGAAGAGCATACGCCGACTGTCGCACATCGTTATTGGGGTCCCTCATGCAGACAGCCAGCAGTTGGAAAAAGGTCGGCGCTTGTGTGACCAGTGTCGCGCTGTCCTGGAGGTCCAAGGCTTGAATGATAGCGCTGAGCAAGTCAAGACTTGTCACCAGGAAATCCTTGTCTGGGGGCTCAAACCCATTGATCTCCGAAGCCATCACACCTTCTTCGAGGTTGCGGTGAATAATCTTGATGCACCTAGCAAATATACCTGCGGCATATGGCGCAAATTTGGGCCCAAGAGCGGTAGCAACGTACGAAAGACACTCCAACAGCGGGAACATCTCCCTCGAGTGATCAGACACCTTGTTCCAGCGCTGAATGAGAGCAGGCATAAGCAGTTGGACAAGCTCGTCTTTGGCCAGTTCCGGTCCGACGTGTTCGGCTAGCGTCTGCACGCAGTCGTAGAGAATGAACATGTTCCTGTCCTTGTACATGGAGAAGCACTGGACGAACTGTCGGACAATGACAGGGCAGTATGGTGCAAGCTCCGTGTTTGCCTTTTCTTCCAGGTTGGCAAAGGCAGATGCCGCGGCTTCCTGCACACGCTTGTTCCTATCAAGCATCTTCATCAGAATGCCCTCCATGACCGGCTCGAAGAACTGTTTCTTGCCGGTCGTGTCCAGGTGCGAAGCCCATCCCGAGTAACGTCCAAGTGTCCAGCATGTGATCTGGCGGACAACAGGCTTGGGGTCGCCTAGTAGAGTGATAAGAAACGGGGTGAGCATGGGAAGATGGGGTTCAACCACCGTCATGCATCCGTCCGCAATAGCGCCAAGAGCAAGCACTGCCGATTCACGGTTGGGCCACTCGGCATGATTAAGATTATCTGTCAAGTAAGGAAGTGTTGCTTGGAACACAGCTTCGTGAAACACGGACGCGAGCACGTCGAGAGCGGCAGCAGAGCATTTGCGGAGGTTCCACTGCTCCTCTGGGTCTCCGAACTCGTCATCGTCATCGTCGTCAAAGTCGTCGATTTCACCCTCGCTGAGATCGTCGTTGTCATCAGCTGAGGCTCCTGATGCTCCATTTCCAGCTGGAACCGTTTCGCCGTTCGCGTTGGTAGCAAGTCGTCCAGCCTTACTCGAGGCAAAAGTCGGCTTGATATCCTGTTCTCGGTCCTCGACCTCGTAGTCTTCCTCTTCGCCTTCAAGACGCAAAATGTCATCTTCACTGTACACCATGCTCGCAAGCAGGACGGGTATTATCTTGGCCAGGTATGGGCCAAGATGATCTCGCATCTTCTCGTCTTCACTGGCACACAGCCAGAACTCGGCAGCGTCTAGAGCCAAGTCTGGGTTGTTTGGTGTCCGTTGCTGCGTGACCATGAATTCGACCAGACCGTCCATATGCGGCGTAATCTTGTGAGGGGCAATGTCGGCAATGTGAACAAATGTTCGGCATACGTGCTTGCGCACCTCTTCACTAGAGTCGCTGGCCAGCTGGAACAATTGTTGCAGCAGCGTGTCAATGTGAGAGATGACGCTGGGTGGCTTTTCAGGGACAAATACGTTGATAGCAGCTAACGCGTCGGCGCGCACCCGAGGCTGAGAGCTGGTGGTGAGCTCGAGGAGTTTTGGGAATACAAAGTCGAGAGGCTTCTGACCCTGGTATTGCTTGTCGAGAGCCTTCCTGTTATCTTCGCAAATCTTCAGCAACGCACCCATTGCGCCTTCTTGCGCTTGGTTCGAGACATTGCCGTCGGCGTTGCTGACCATGCTGACCAGGTCCGAGAGAATCTGCGGCCATCCCATGATACCTCCCTGGCGCACGATTTCTGTTATGACGTTTCCCGCATAGGCCCGTATTTGTGCTGCGGGATCTTGCAGACCGACGAGAATTATCGAACGTATGTAGTCTTTGGTCGATTCGGGCATGGCTTTGTAGGCCGTCTTGACGTCGTTCTTGAGCATGACGGCGGCCGCAGCTCGCGCCTGGAAGTATTGCGTGGCATCCATGTTGACGCCGGCTGGGGGCTGGTTGTTTGAAAACACATAGGCTAGATATTTGTCGATGTCGGGCGAAGATTGCGCAGACTTGAGCATCTGTGTAGTCGTCGGGGTCAGCACTGGACAGACGGCTAGCACATGAATGCACGATACTGACCTCGCCAGCATTCTTTCGCGCGTTTGCATCGTGGCCGCTGAGCGAGTCGCTCAGGCACTGAGTCAGTTGCCGTAGAGGCTCTTCCTGTGGTTGCCACGCCATGGCCGAGGGTGGTTTGCTTCGCAGGGCGAGGGCGGGATGCAAGAGTGTCGACTAGCAACCCTCAAACAGGGAGCAGAGGTGAGGCAGCACTGCACAGCGAGATACGGCAGAAGAAAAAAAGAATAGGCCCTGTCGGCTTAAGCTTGGTCTGTCCGTCGGCTTCATGGTTAGCTCTGGTGGGGAAGGACATTGAACGCTCAATGGAGGGGTAGTGTCAACGTACAAGCCTCGTGCGAAGAGAGAGAGAGGGAGAGAGAGCGCCTCACAAGACAACGAGCATTTTTTTCCAGGACAAAGCCCACGAGCGGTCTGGCGACCTGGCGTAATAATTTCGGTGTGCCGCAATAAGTTTGCTAGTGATGATGCGCGGGGCGCAGCGGAAAGGTACGGCGGGTCCTCAGTGTGCGGCCAATCGAGAGCGTCGACAGCGAAGCAAAAGGACGGAGCTGCAGTGCGACTTGGGTAAAGACAGCATGCAGAGAGCTCGGCTGATTTGGGGGGTGCGCAGGCAAGAAAAGCTGGCAGGGCGGTATAAGGAGAGGGGGGGCGGAGGCGGTTCAAAGTTTTGTGAGTGCGCGTTTACTGGGGCGACCCGCCTGCCTGCGACCTCCCCCCCCCAACTCTGGCTGGATCATTTGGATAGGGCGACGACGACGACGAGCTAGCTGCCACTCTCTTACCGGACATGCGCCAGCTCTTCCATTCACACCGCCTGCCGCCCTAACAGATAAGACAGCTGGCACCGCGCCTCACCACGGTCAACTGCTTTACATGGCCCTGAGCCCGCAAGACGTCGGGGTGGCGCCTGCAACAGGCCGGAATGTTGCACGGCTCAACGCGCGTTGCATGGCCGTACATAGTCGAGCAACACCCACGATGCTCCCTCCCTGCATGGTATCCCCCGGCAGCCCTTTGTCCAGGCACGCTCTGCACGCTCTGCACGCGTGTGCAAGAGGGCTGGAGAATCCACGTGTCTGTCTCGCCGTCGACTTCGGCCCGCGGCTTGCGCTGTGCAAGGCCATCATCGTGGACCATAGTTAGCTCTGACAGTATCCTGTGTGCTCATCATTGCTTTTCCACAACAGGTGAAGAGATAGGAAAGCAAGCCGAAGGCGTGCCGAGACAGCAACGGTTTGAATGTCGGCCACGGTTGGAACTATGTACTGTACCTACGTACATAGGCTACCCCAGCTTTCCCTACGGCAACGCCTCCCTACACCGAGAGACGATGGTCGCGTGGCATGCCGAAAATGCGCCCCCCCCAACGGCAGCTGTGGACCTTCACCTGCTCTGTGGCGGGAAGCATGCGCTGCATTAAAGTCGACATGCCTGTTTCCTACCTCTTTAGTCACCCCTGTGGTGCCTTGGTGGACTTGTAGACAACTCATTTCACTCCCACCATATGTCTTCACTGCACGCTACTGAATGTATCGAAGGCACATGTGGCCGCCCAACTATGGTGCAAAGGATTCACGTGTAGCGAGGCATGGATTTGCCGGGCTGTTACGCCAGCACTACTGGAATGCGGTCGGATCTGTCTCCGATGCAGTGCCTCGGGGTACATGTGTGGCTGGATCGTGTCATGAACCAAATATGTATCTTCCATCGACTTAATATCTTACTGAGCAACAATGCTCATGAGGCGACCCAGGATTTATTCTCTGTTATAGCTACCGTGCGCTCAATCTCGGCCGAGACGTGAGCCTATCCCCCGTTCCTGGCTACTAGTATTTTCTTTTTCTTGCAGCTCCTTTCTCTTTGCACTGCAAATCCCTTGGCATCTTCCAATATGCATCTTGTCGTTGGACCTAGTATTTTCTCTGGAAAAATTTGACCAACACATGACATTGGTAGTAGAAACATTCTCACAGCCAAGGCCCTCGGTTGTCAGCAAGACGGACAGTCAAAGAGGCCGCGGCCCCCAATTTCATAATGTAGGTGCTCTTACACGAGACGCGACCCCTGTGCTGGTTAGATACATCAGCCCAAATAAACACCAGCGGGCGCACGGCAGCAGTATCAGTATTGGCTTGAGATTGGCTGCCGTTTCCTGATAGCGTATACGAGCCCATGGCACGACATGGCACGGGACGCGTCTGCGCAGTGCGGTGTCGTCCAGGGACCATTTCACAGACAGCCGTGCGGCCTTGTGCGAGTGACGACATGTTGCTCTCTGCACACGCTATGGGATCATGGGCGGCAGCGCAGAAAGCAAATGCAAAGGTGATTACAGACTGCAGCAGTGAAGGCAGGCTGACATCATTCGCGTGCAGTTGACGTCAAGCATGGGCGGAGCAGGGCCTGCAGGCGTAACGTTCTATAGGCGCGAGTAGTGCCGTGCTGCAAGGCTGATGATGTACATTGATAGATACGAAGAGCGACGAGCGCATTGGCATGGGCAAGATTCTCGGTGCTGGTGCCGCCGAGCACCGTAAGCGCGAAGAATGGGGGGGGTTTCCAGACTGGAGTGGGAGCGTCTGCAATGTCAGTGTTTCACGATTGCATGACGTCGGGGCGTGAGTGGTGGACTGGATGCTTCACGAACCGTGAACCCACGCGTGGCGCCGACGAGCGACTACGGCTGCAAGACAATTTTAGCATGTGCTCTCGTGAAACCCTAGGGCGGCTGTCCAGCATGCTTTTTTGTTTTGGTGTCTCGGGCGGACGAGGGCCGAGTGCAGACGGGCGAGCCATGGCGACGCCGAAAGCAAGCAATGGACGGCCTACACCTGCACATAGCTGTACATGGTGCGCATGCACATGCACATGCGAAACGGCTGCTGGGCCGGGCAAATGGCCAGGCAAGGCGTCGTGTCGGATGTGGTGCTGGGTCTGGCGGTGGTCTGGCGGTGGTCTGGATCGGGGCCTGGCGGTGCATGGCGGCGGCAACACAGCCATGGTTGAGCCAGCAAGCGAGGGGGACGGCGCGGCCGCCATGGGGTGAGGTGGTGATGCCCGCTGTCGTGGCCATGGCCGAGGGCTGCATGCACGCAGAACATTGTTGTAGTCGTGCTATTGACTGCGTGCAAAGCGCGGCGGATAGATCGGCAGAAGAGTGGTTCTGTTGGCTCCCGGCGCTGCCTGTGTCGTGTGCCGGCGGAGGTGGCAAGCCCAAGCTGCAATCAGGCACTTGACGTCTCACGCACATCTCACCACGCCTTCTCCTCCATCCCGCTTCGGCGCCGTCCCTTGACCCTCCTCGACGACCTGGCATCGCTATCCACTGCGATTCTCTGCATCCCGCCATCGCCATCGCCATCATCGCCATCGCCGTCGCCGCCATCACTGCTGCTGCTGCTGCTGCTGCGGACCGCGTTGCAGCACTGCGCCGTACATAATCGCTGCACGTCACCGAGCTGGAGCCGGCCCCCGCTGCCCTGATCAACCCACGAGCGCGGACATCCTCCTACCAGCAACCTGCGCCGCTGCGCTCCTCCCCTCCCCTCCCCCCACGGCCTGCGCTGTGTCGCCCTCGCCCTCGCCCTCGCCCCGCTGCCATCCGCCCCCAAGACAGCCGCTGCGCAGCTCCTCGCAATGCTGCCACAGGAGCCGCTCCACGCGGGCCCGCCCCCGACGACGCTCTACAAGGCCTATTATCCCGGCGACAATGGCCCGTCGACGCTGCCCACAGCCCTCGCACACCCACACACGCCGCACCACGACGCCGCGCGCATATCAGCAGCATACCGCAGCAGCCTTGGATCCACGGCAAAGGGCATCATGATCGGCATCTTCTCCGTCTTGGGCGCCGCCGGCGTCTGCCTCCTCCTCGCCGCCGTTGTTTACTACTTCCGGTATACGCATTCGGGCCGCATCTTCCTCGACCGCATAACGCGCCCTGGTGAATATGACGACGAGCAGCAGTTTGCCAAGGAGGAGGCAGAGGCGCTCGAGTCCATGGACGAGCTGCAGAGGACAGAGTACCTGCGGGCAAAAGGTAGGCCGCCCGCTGCATCTTGTGCCATTGTGCAATGCAAGTGCATGCTGACTGTATACAGCCTTTGTGCAAGCAAACCCCCCCGAATCCGTCCAGACTGACATCTCGCTTTCGCAATTCCTGGCCATTCAAGAAAAGGGCGTATCTGCATGGGAATTCGAGCCCGAACTCGAAATTGCAAACTGCTTCGTCGAAGGCCGCACCGAAATCGAGTTCTTCGACTCCGAGTGCAGTGTCCAGAGCAACCTGCCCATACCAAAGCAGAACGAAGTCTACTACTGGGAAGCCAAAGTCTACGAGAAGCCTGAGAACACCAGCTTAGCCATAGGTGTGACGACTAAGCCGTACCCCTTGTTCAGACTACCCGGTGCGCCCATTATCATGCCTCATCACGCCTCATCACCTGTTTCACGCTCTAACATATCCCAGGCTACCACAAGTCGTCGATATCGTACATGTCCAATGGAAACCGCCGCCACAACCAGCCCTTCCAGCCTTCTGCCTACGGACCTGCCTATGTCCAGGGAGACGTCATTGGCGTTGGATACCGACCTCGAACCGGAACCATCTTCTTCACCCGCAACGGCAAGAAACTCGACGACGTCGCACACGGCCTCAAGACGCAAAACTTCTTCCCTACGGTAGGCGCAAACGGACCGTGTCAGGTACACGTCAATTTCGGCCAGATGGGCTTCGTGTTCATTGAAGCCAACGTCAAGAAGTGGGGCTTAGCACCGCAAACCGGAAGCCTGGCCCCTCCACCACCCTACGGCAGCGAGCAGGGATCAATACTGCTGGACTCGGGACGTGAAGGCGTAAGAGAAGGAATGGCTGGTAGTTACATCCAAGCAGGCTATGGACATGCACGGTCTAGTAGCCATCAAGTGCGTCTTGGAAGACAAGTACCAACCAGCCCCGGACCTCAACGAAGCCCGACAGACATCTCTTTGGCAGCACTCAGTCTCGTAGACTCGCACGACGATGCCGGCGAAGGTACGAGCGAGGACCACCGAACAACAATTCCAGCCGACCAGGGTCTTGGCCTGTTGCAGACTGGCGAGCTTCCCCCCGAGTACAGCAGCCCTGTCGGCTCTCCTAGCATCAGGCAAACATTTAGTCACCAGCACGGCTACTGGGGCGAGCGAGCACCCCTTCTGCAGAACCAGCAACAACCGAGCCGAACTAGCCCACCAGTCCCTACTTACGATGCGGCCATGGCGGATACACCAGAGATCCGACCACCCACAATCAGAGTACGCAGTGGCACTTTTGGCGCAGTCGTTAGCCAGACCATTGTTGTCGGTATGTCTAACGTTGCCGGAGCGACTAAGAAAAGCGCAATGGCGGCTGCCATATTTGTAGCGTATTGCGTGGGGAATATCGTAGGGCCACAGTTGATTGATAGTAAAGAAAAGGTTGCGCATTATCCTAAGCTGTGGACCGGTCTGATTATTTGGTATGTACACATTCTTTTCACTTGATGGGTATTTGCTATGATATTAACGGGGCTGACGAGATGCATAGTTATTGCATTACCATTGTTACAGCCATGGCTTTGTATGCTGTTCTTCTCCGGGAGAATAAGGAGAGAGATGCTATGCCCATTGACGAAGCAGAGCGTGACAAGCTGGCGTTCATGGATCTTACGGACAAGGAGAACCCGTACTTTAGATATGTTCTATAGTCGGAGGATGTCATGGACGAATTAGACCGAAAAAGTACTGAAGCTGTAATGGTATGGGATTGAATCATCGCCATGCGTGGGTATGTCGTTTGCCGACAGTATTGGCAGTAAACCGTACGAATTATGACAAATTGTTGGACAACTTGCAGCCAGAGGTCAGAGGTAGGCATAGAAATATACGTGTGCAATTCGATGGTGGTGTTGGCATCTACAGCAGCAAATTAGCCAAGCGCGGAAACAACACAACCACGCAGTTGACCGGCGACCAAAATCAACACCCGCTCAAATACACAGTAAACCAGTCTAGTAGCAGACAAAAAAACAACAACGCCACTAACAACAAAGACACGCCCTTTGTATGGGTGTCCTATCCGTGTGCCTGCCCTCGTAAGCCCCCAAAGGACATGTAACAATGCTCGCTCAAAGGAAAAGAAGACTCCAACATAAGAAAACACTCAACGCCCTTGGCTTCGGAATACAAAGGTATTTTTTACTCAACAGATTCGGGTTGCTTCGCTGTACGCATCCATAGGAGGCTCAAATACACAGCAGTAGTCATTGCGCATCCGTTGCTTGTGACCGACTTGCGGCTCTGACAAAAAAAAAGGAAATTTGAATGATTGGGGGTATATTTGTAACAAGAAGAAATGCGGAGAGGGCATCTTCGTGATACGAGACACAAAAGGAAAAAGGGAGTGCATGTTATGCAGCCATACATCAGCGGAGTGTCCGAGGTCGAACGCCGGCTTCAGTCGCGATGATGGAGTACCCTGCTACGGGAGTGGCTGCATGATACGTCCATTTTGCTTTCCAAATCATAGCGCAGCCCGCGATGACGGGAAGGCAGTTTGCAACAAGTAGGATAAGGCGGATATTAGGGATACGCGAACTGAGATAGCCGCACAGCAAGATGCTAATGAGACACAGACCACCCAAGGGGAACTGCCACAGAATAGATGCGAGAGTCGACCAGCCGAACGTACTTACAATAAGTGGGCCGAAACCAGATACCGCGCCGTTGACCGTGTACGCCGAAGCCATGAGGATGAAGACGAGCCAGACTTTAATGTCCAATGCTGCTTCTTTGAGCTGAGCAGGTTTGATCTTCTGGCACCGCACCCCAGTTGCGCCTTTGCGCAGTCGCTCGACGGCCACGATGCGCTCTGCAGGCGAGAGAAACCAAGCTTGAGCACACGAATTGGGGATGATGAAACACCAGACGGCAAAGATAAAGGTCAGACAGCCAGCCAAAAGGTAAATGTACTGCCAGCGGCGTAACTGTCCCGACGTAATCTGTGCGAATCCATAGTTGAGCGCTCCGCCGAGAATCGTGAAGAGGCCTGTAGAGCTGAACCACCAGCTTTGCCGTATCGCCTGTTCTCGTTGCGTATAGTAGCTTGATACTATCGTCATGAAACCAGTGGGTATGATGCTTTCGACAAACCCGAGGAAGAAGCGCTGAGCGTACAGCCCTTTGTACGTGGTTACGGCTGCTGTTAGCATGCAGATCAAGGCCCAGAGCAGGACTACACCGCCGAGTATACGGCCGAGATTGAAGCGTTGCAGAGCAAAAGTCATGGGATAGAGGCCCGCTAGCATCCCGAAATAAAAGAGTGACGTCGCCCATGACAAACGCGATGTGTCAGTTCTTGGGGGTGTCGTGCTGGCATCTGTGATGCTGAGCGAGAGGTCCTTTGTCATGCCGAAGAGGACGGCAGACCCCAAGATGGCTTTGTCGTAGTATACCAGCCCGTATCCTGGGCAAATACATTAGCTGATGATTCGAGGGTTGTGGAGATTACATATATGTGCATAACACACCAACAATCATGGCGGGAATCAAGAACCAGTCGATTTTTCGCAGAACCCTGGCTTCGATTTCTGGATCGATTTCCTGTGCGTGCTCTCCCACGAGGCCAATTGCTACGTCTTTCTCCTGCGATACCGAGGTTGTGCCCGCTTCTGCATCTTGGCGAGTTGGCAGAGGCGAGGAGGTACCTGTGTGCTCCGCGGCTCCATGGGTTGTATGAGCCGTCATGCTCGAAGAGCATTAAGAAAAAAAACTCGAATTTGTGAAGAGAGAGAAAGGCTGGAGGGAGAGGAAGGACTTTCGATTTCTTGCACGTCAGTTGATTGTACCCGCACGGCTTGAACAGGCACGGGATGGCCACTTCAAAGCTAGCGCCATATCGAGCAGCATGCCGCCACGCAGCCTGTGCAAGCGATATCGCAAAACAGTATAAGACGTCTAGTTTCTTAGCGCCTCGACTCAGGCAAAGCAGCAACCACGTCTGTCCAGGCAGCCACGTGATTGGTGGGCTGGCTAAATATGCCGCGGAAACTGGCCGATGTTGGGATGGAACAGTCAGAATGGCGATAGCACAGGGTGAAGAAGCTAGCACCGAATCAAGCATAGCGGCACGGATGACATAATCGGTGGAAGGAAAAAAACTTTTTCGGTGAGAATAGGTTGCGACGTTTCTCCGCCCAACCAACCAATCTTTTGCCTCGACGCGCCATCACTGTTTTCGCGAGGTAGCCTGTGTCGTACGCACATTCGCTACGCTCCACCACAACGCCCATTCAATTATGAACGTGTCAAAGTAAAGAGAAGAGGACGCCGATGCAGAAGCAAGCCCGTAGTAGTAGTAGTGCAAACGGTAGGAAATCATTGGTCTCTTGCCTCGCTCAATTTGCTGTTCCATCAGCAGATTTCGAGCTGGATACGTACACGTCGCTTCTTTCTAGACAGAGACGTGCCCGTACGAGACAAGAGTAATTTGCGACGATCTTTGAGTACGGAACCGCCTGATTCCATGTGTCGGACCTCCGTAATTTATCTGTCGCGACATATTTACCCTCGGATTGCTCGCTCTTGATGTGGCGGTGCTGGTTTTCTGTGTAGCATGTAAAAAAGCGGCGAACAGGTATGTTGGTGTCCTAAAGCTGCTTGATACTGGACATGTGTTTTATTCCTGATGTCTTTGTATCATGTTGATTCTCTGGTGTTATGATAGTACGACGAGTGTAGAGAACGTGCGACTACTAGTAACTCTGCTCGCGGAATGCCGAAACAATTCACTCAGTCAGGCCAGACCGCTCAGCAAGCGGCATATCAATGTACCACCTGCTTTAATAACGTGCTCGATGTGAACCGAGAAAGTGAAGCATCTTCATACGTCTACGTGTGCATGAGCAGTGTCCGGGTGGAGGCTTTGTGTGACCGTGGCTGCTTTGTGGCTTCATGATCGCTGGTAACGATCAGCGTGGCAACGTACGTATGTAGAACTGTAAAGTTGAGCACAGAGAGTCCGGAGTATGTTGATTGCTAGTAGTATGGTGTTTTTTTAGACATGATGCGGTGAGTGTCGAGGAACCATAGGTGTTAATATATGTAGTTTGCCGAAAATAAGCATAAGCCTGTCCAATAGCAAACACTGCATTTTGAAATCTCATGAGGACTCTCTAATTGTGTATGCTACATTGGTGAGCTCGATATTCATCTCATGGTTAGGTGGGTTAATTCCATGGTTTGGAGGCGTCCCCAGGCGATTCGGATGACCCAAAAAATATTGGCCACAATAATCACAATGTCCCGTAACGAACCACATAATAGACCTGCTGCGGGCTTCCAGCACTCTCGTAACCACTAGAAAGTAGGGCCATAATAATATGGCAATTGCAGTTGCTCGGATCTACCCCACGGGTTACTAGCGTGGTCGCGTGGCAAAAGCCGGGAATTAGCCTCACCTTTGGTTCCAGTTCCGCAGTTGGTGGGCTGAAGCTCCGACCACTCCATGTACATCATCGCCGCGAAAGGACAGGCAACACATAAACCTACGCTTTCACCCACCATTTGCTTCCGCACCACAGTCCCTTCCAATTGTACTCGCCCCCTTTCTCCAAACTACTGCTACGAGGCATAATAGCGCGATACTCACACAGGTATTTGGATCGGCCAAGAAGGTCTGCCAGGGCAAGATGGCGGGCAACAGCGTAGACGTCGAGTCTCTCTCGCCAGACCAGCAAGCCGCACTTCAGCAATATACGGCCGTCACCGACCAAGCAGTGGACGCCGCGATACCCCTCCTCCAGCGAGCACAGTGGAACGTCAACATTGCCGTCACACGCTTCTTTGACGGCGAGCCGACCGAAGACCCCGTCGCCGCAGCAGCCGCACAGCAACCTCCACAAGATACCCGGCGGCAAGAAACACTGTTGAATGGCTTTGGGGCGCCCCGGTCGTCAACAAGTAGTGGAAGGCGAGTGAGGATAGAACCGGCACCGAGGGTTGTCCCGCAGCCAGAGAGCCAGGTCAGCACACAAGTTCCGCTGGTCCTTGCCATCTTCTTTGCGCCCGTCTCGCTAGTATATTCTTTGTTCACGAAAAGCTTCCGGTTATTGGGCTGGATATTTCCTTTCCTTCCCCGCGCATGGGGAAGGATTACAGCCAGCAACATCAACACTCCTGCCTCGCAACGTAGCGCAAGCGGACGTCGGCCCTTGAACCCGCGCGATACGGCCGCCCGATTTATTCGCGAATTCGAAGAAGAACACGGAAGCCACAACCTGCCTTTCTTCGAGGGCGGATACGCGCAAGCCTTTGATCTGGCGAAGAAAAACCTCCAGTTCCTGATGGTCGTACTCATCAGCCCAGAGCACGACGAAACGTCATCCTTTATCCGCGAGACGCTCCTCGCCCCCGAAGTCGTCGAATTTGTGCGAAACCCGAGTAACAACATAATTCTCTGGGCAGGCAATGTGCAGGACTCGGAAGCATACCAAGTCTCGGCGGCGCTCTCATGCACAAAATTCCCATTTACCGGCTTGATTGTGCATACACCGCAGGTATCTTCGACTGCCATGGGTATCGCAACGCGTGTCACAGGCCCAACACCCCCACAGCAATACGTCTCCAAGCTACGAACCGCAATGCAACAGCACATGGAGCCGTTGAACCGCGTGCGCAGTCAACGTGCAGAACAGCAAGCTACACGCAGTATTAGAGAGCAGCAGAACAGCGCATACGAGCGCTCGCTCGCCGCTGACCGCGAGAAAGCGCGGAAGAAGAAGGAAGAAGCAGAGCGCAAGGCGAGAGAAGAGAAAGAAGCGCTGGAGCGCGAACAAGCCATTGAACGCTACGCTCAAAAACTACAGCAATGGCGCAAGTGGCGCGCGGCATCCATACCCTCTGAACCCGAGGCCGGTGAAACAGACGTTGTACGAATCAGTCTGCGTATGCCCGACGCTCAACGCGTGGTGCGCAAATTTGCGGCAGACGCACCCATTGAAGAGCTCTACGCTTTTGTCGAGTGCTACGATATTCTGCAGTCCGAGGATGCGCTCAAGGACAAGGTCGACGAGCCAAAGGACTTTGAACACGAGTACAAGTTCCAGCTCGTGTCGCCCATGCCGAGAGAAGTCTACGACCTGAAAGCAGGGGGCTTGATTAAGCAGCGTATTGGGCGTAGCGGGAACTTGATTGTTGAGCGAACGGACCTTGAGGAAGACGACGAAGACGAGGACGCATAGTGTATTTAATAAGGCAAGAATGCATGGTGCGGCGTTTTCTTCTTGATCATTTAGCGTGGGAAACGTCTAAAGGGTCGTATCCATAGACCACGGTCGTCTTTTTGATTATAGTGCCGCATGAATAAGATGAGAACATGTTTTTCGACCGCACGCAAACGATGTATTTACATGTGAATCAAGAAACATTCAATATTGACTATTCTACCTCGTTATTTCATTTTCTAACAGCTCAATAGCTGCGGGTATCTATCTTTGGCTGTTGAAAGGCCAAATGTCACTTTTTTATTGTCCTACGCCAAATAAACACCTTGTCATGATGCAATGACGATACCAATACCCATATGCCGCACCGTGCGGTTGTCTGGACATAGCCAGGCCGGTTTCTATCTGCACCGGCACACTCTCTCGCGTAAGTTGTTGAAATACACGAGCCTCAGCCCTCACATTCTGTGAAACGAACGCTTAGCCGCTGTAAGTCTGCTTGGGCTGCGGGTACGAAGGACCAAGCTCCTGGATGCTGAGCTTCGCGAGCCACTGTCCCATGTCGATAGCCTTCTCAAGGGGCTTGCCCTGAACGATACCAGCGACGAAGCCGCCAGCGAATGCATCACCGGCACCGTTGGTGTCGTTGATCTTGTCGTTGCTGATGGCGTGCACGGCGACCTCCTTGACTTCGGGCTCACCGCCCTCGTTTGCGGTGATGGCGATGGTGGGCTCAGTGCCTTGAGTAAAGACGACTGTCCTTGGTCTCTTGGTGTTCTTCTTGGGCAGGCTTGCAATCTTCTTTGCAATCTCCTTGACGTCCTTGGTCTCGTAGCCGTGGGCCTCGGCGAATGCGGCAGCCTCGGTCTCGTTGCCAATGAGGATGTCGACGTATGGAAGAACCTCATCAAGAGGGTCCTTGAAGAATTGTGAGATGAAGGGGGCAGAGAGGTTGAGGATAAATTGCTGGGGAACAATCAGTATAAAGGCCTGTTATCAGACAAATCTTAATCATGTGCGTACCTTGTCCTTTGCTGCGGCCTCCTCGGCAAGCGCCTTAATGGCTGGCACGCACACAGTCAAGTGGAAACCACCAACATAGTAGACCTTGGCGTTCTCAACCTGCTTCCAGATGTGGTCCTGCTTCAGGTGCTCGATCTTGTAGTTGTTGGCAGCAGCGAGATCGGTGCACAAAGAGCGGTTGTGGCCGGTGATAACAGCACCGCAGCGACCAGTGGGGGTCTTCTCGTCGTAGAGGTACTCGGTCTTGACACCAGCATCGGCAGAGATCTTCTCTAGAGTCTCACCGTATTTGTCCTTGCCAATGCAGCCGATGTAGATGACAGAGTTGGGCTCGAGAATGTATGCGGCACCTCTGGCTGTGTTCTGTGCAGCTCCACCGGCGATGAGGACGGCATTGTAGTTCTGGATCAAGTCGTCGTACAGTCCCATGTGCTTCTCTGGGTCCGCGAGGATGGCATCGTTGGCCTTGAGACCATACTTGTCAAGAAGAGCCTGGTCACTGCGAGTTGTCAGCCAAAGCTACTTCCGTGCTCTACGACGACGAAAATGCACCGAGTCGTCCAAGAGACCAAGCTGGACTTACCCAACGCCCTGGATATCCAGAAGCGGGTTCTCGAGGCACAGTAGCTCGTAGTTTCCAGGCATTGTGATGATTGTTCTTGTAGAGCGTGGCTGTTGGTGTTGTAGCAGAGAGAAGGTGGTGAATGCGGGGCGGAGTTTCGGAGTTGGAGGGCCAGCAAGTCTCACGCTAACTCGTGCTAAACTCGCCGAAAACGACGATAGAGCGCAGGAAAGGCGGGGCCGACAAAACATATTGCGTTATTATCTTGTGTCTGATTCAGGAAGACGATGATACAACTGCAGGCAGTAGTGCTGAAGAGCACAAGTGAACGATATATGTCGGCGGGGTCATGCTTTCCTACCGTCACGTAACTATCATACCACCATTCCAGGAGCATTGGTCATCGCCTTTCGTCTCCATTAGTGGCCCCGTAAACCAATGAAGTTAAAACGTCTCGTTGTGTTATGAATAATCTGTATCTAGCCTGCTTCCTGTTATTTCATTCCCCAATACAATAATACGTAGTGCGAGCAACATGTCCCCATACCCCCACCGTTGATTACAAGCCCCTAACTTGCGACGCCATCCACGCCCATTTTCTTCATAGTAGCTCTTCGAACATCATTCCTTCATCATCATTGTCACAACCTCGCCTCGTGCTGGTGCTCGCCCTATAGGATTCGTCTCAGAGCAATTTCCACGTCAGTTCCGTCCATGGTGAGGCTACCCGAGTGAACTGGAGCTAGTGCATTGCTACTTCCGTCCCGCCCGTACCAAATCCTGGAATGACGACTCCAGTGCTCGCTTTACTTCTCGGTAGCTGACAATGAGCACATTCTGCTCGTCTCTGCTCACCAGCCCTATCTTCTCATCTGTACCAGCGTCTAGTTTGTTTAGGCAGTCTAGAATGTGGGCCAGGTCCGTGACCGGGTGTCCATTTGCGTCTACTTGATGGAAAACGTAATCGCGGAAGAGCTTGAGGTAGTAGCGTTCTCCGGTTTCCGCCCATACTGACGATGGGTTTGTGCCACTGTTCCCTGCCATACTTTGGGATGCATCCAACTCTGGACGCTCGTTGATCATGTTGAGCTTGATAAGCAGGCGAACCAATCTGGACGATTCCAGCTCTTTTCCAAGAGTGACTGTCAGCGTGTCTTGAGCATGTAGCTCACTGTCAAAGACTGATGCAAACTGATCAGCGATACCACCCAAGAAAGTGTCGATATCCTTTTGCAAAGGCGCCGGCGAAGTGGGAGATGACGGCACCCCGGGTGGTGGCTGGGGGTTGAGCAGCCACTGGACACATTCTTTGAGGCGGGCTGTATAACTGCGTGTGATATAGTCCATGGATTTTTGCATCTGCAAATGAGCTGTGGGGTTGTTGTTGGCAATGCAAAGTATCAACCGTCCAAGTTGAACAAAGTCGTCTGCCTGAAGATCCTGCACAGAGCGAGCATTGTCATACTGGACAATATCCATGATGCCGCATGCGTTCAGTCGTATCCGGTTCTTCGAAGTGAGCAGTATCTTCGATGGCGTTATCAATCTTGCAGCCAGTCCCGATCCATGTATGGCTTTCAATGCAGACGCAATTTGGACAGTATAGCCCCACAAGACCTGCTCCGGTACATGCGATGATGTTGGTTGCCTACCATGGAATCGTTGAACTGGTTTGAAGTGTTCATCGGCAAGTGACTTGGAGTTTGGATGGTAGTCTGTGACGAGGATTAAAGAGCTGTCACCAAAAGCGCGAGTGGTAAACGCCTCATGGATAGTGACGACATTGCCGTTTAGTACACGTTTCCACGGCTGAGCGGAGCGAATGGCCGTCTCGCTTGTCAGGCGAAAGTTTTCTAGGCGGCGCAGCGCGTATGTCTTGCCATCTTTGCTGGAGACGGCTCTGTATATCCAGCTAGCATAGCCAAAGGGTTGCGTGTTTTTCTGTGGTGACATGTCTAAGCAAAACAATGAGTGAAACTGCTCAATGACAGGCAGAGTGCTGTTTGGCGCAATTTGGCGCGCGACCTCTGCCTTCTTTTGCAACTCTTCCCGCAGCGCATCGGGTATAAAAAAGTCATGAGCAGTACGCTGGTAAGCGAGCAGGCCAGTAGGCTGCGGCCCCACCGGCCAGTACAAGTGATAAGCTGGGTTCTGGAAAGCATTGGCGTTCTGAAAGTACGTCGCCGAAGCGTCTTGCGCATAAGGGTTCATGGCAGCAGCTTGGTGGCTAGGACCAGCCAATGTTGGCATGTTGGTAGGCGTACTAAACGGGTCGTAGCCAAGATTAGGATCGACCTGGATAGAGTGTAAGTCGGGATCTTCGTATAATCCAAACCAGCGCCAGGTAAGTCATGCCATATCATGACGACGAGGAACCAAGTGTAACGAAAGCCCCACGCACCATCTGCTGACCCTCAAAGGACTGCGGAACGAATTCTTGAAAGTCCTGCGAATGCCAATCAATTGCAGGCTCTTTTGCATGCACACGCGGAGTGGTGACGGCTGACATAATCAGCATGGGAACGACAGTACAGCTGGCGATGGTTTCAAGACTCACTAGAGCGTTGCGATTTGGGTGTGAAGACGGCAGCATTGGCTGCTTTTGGGGAGATGGCAGCACCGCGAGAAGAGGGGGTCACGGATCCATTAGTGTTTGCCTGCAAGGGAGTGAAAGACGGCGAGTCAACATTGAACCTCTTCTTGGTGTTCTCATTCTGGTTCAATTTGAGGTTGTCGTGGATATAGGGACATGCTGAACCGGGTCACTACAAGCATTCGACAGATGCGGTCACGGGCACTTACTGTTCTCGTACCGGCAGTGCCCATAAATGGTGACATTGCGGCAGAGAGTGTTCTTCGCTTCTGCGTAGACCAGTCAGATTCAGTGCGAGAGTAAGCATGTGTGGGCTGGGTCCTACCGCGACCCTTGGGGCGAGGAGAGACTACTCCCCTTCGCGAATCTCCCGAGGGACCTCCAAAGGCTGTTGCCATGAATCGCGTCTGGTTTGTCGATGGGCTGTGTGTAGCAATATGAGAATGTTGGCGTGTCTTAGACGCACTCTGGGGAGACGGAGCGGCGCTCTGCGCGGACTCTGCTGCTGGCTGAGACGTGGGGGGTTTGCGGTCGGACCCGGTGTCATCTGAAGAGCCTCCTCCCCTACTCCATCTGCCGCTCGACTTGTTCGACTGCTTCCGCCGGTTGTTGCGCGCCTGTTTCTGGGGCGTGGTCGGGCCGTTGCGCCCTTGGGGAGTGGGTAGCGAGTCCCGCGACGACGATGACGACGTCACTTCGGAAAATGATTCGGTGGTAGAGGAGCCGGAGCTTGCAGTGAATGTCGCATGTGGATTGCCCCTCGGCACGGGGAAGAATGCAGGCCGATTGGGAGGCGTGGAAGCGTGCGGCGCGCCTTTGGTCGGCGGCGACGCAGGCTGAATGGTGGGCAACCTGCTACCCTTCTGGTGGATGTTTCCTGCAAGGCCATTAGAGAGCGAGTCCATCAACGGCGAGAAGCTGTAGAAGGCGGACGGCGCCTGGAGATTTCCAGGGCCGCCGGGAGACATGGCGGGCGGGATGTTCGCGATAGTGGAGTGGCATGGAGCGGGACAGGGACAATTGGGTGAGTACCTTTCGGAATTGCGGCCTATGAGCCACCCCCAACGAGTGCAGCGTCGTCGTGTAGGAGCAGCAGCCGCCTCTCCATCAGCAGGCACAGTCCAAGAAACAAGGCAAACAAGGCAAGCACGCGCGCCGGGAGTGTGAGGGTGAGATAGCTGAGGCCTCGCCGCGCTTCGCCGGCTTCCTTGCATAACCATGTTTGACGTGTTTGCAGCCGGGCCTGCTTAGTCACTCACGCTTCACGCCTCGGCACACTTCACGCCCTCTGATCGCCAGCATCGCCCGCAAATGAGCGAGCGTGGCTCCGAGTCGCGCTTCGGCCGCTTGCCGGCATACCAGCACGAGTCTGACGCTTGCTGACAGCAGGCCATGCGGGCGCGCGCCTAGACATGCACCACCACCACTACTACTCTACCACGCACCGGCACGCCTCTGCGCCTCCAACATCACGTCACCACTGCCCTCCTCCCACAAGACTGCTGGCACGCGCATAACTCCATGTTAACATTCTAAAGCACACAATGTCGTCCCCCTCAGTCACAGCCAGTACGGGCTGAGCACAAGGCGCGCGCCCAGAGGACTGCGCTGCCCTGTACGACTGCACTAAGAGAAAGACCCATCTCTCCAACTCTCAATCTTCCAAACGCAAAAGAAAGCTAAGACAATCCCCAAAAAATACCACGGTAATTTCCAATTATGAACCATATCATGACCGCCGGCTTCTCTTCCTTGGCTATTCCCGTCGCTACACACAGCCGTCGGGACATGGACAAAAAGCGTGCATAACTTCTATAGGGCGTGGCCGAATCCCCAGGGCCCTATTCCGAGAGACATTCGATAGGCATTCTGGCTGCCGCACAGGCGTTAGGTGGAAACACATCAGTTTGTTTGCGCTTCGAGCGAGCGAGCTCTTTGTGGGTGCACTGCGACAGGCAAGAGTGGCGGAAGCATCTTGGCCTTCAAGATGACTGATGAGAAGACAGCAATGAACAGCCTACTACAGCTGCCCTGCCGCTGATCAGCCGCCCTGGCCGTTGGGTGGAGTCCGTCCCCAAGGACTATTGGCGCCCTCGCGATAAGAGGAACTGAATATCATGGGACTTGCCATGTTGGCATTGCTGGCGTATCCATACTGATGGTGGTTGTTGAAACTGTTGCCGTAGGTAGCAGATCCCCAGTTGGAAAGGCTTCCGCTATGGTTTCCCCAAGCGGCACCACTGCCAAGACCACCGCTGAAACTACTACTGATGGGCCGCAGAGCCCGGGCACTCGTGGGAGTAGTGACATCGGCACTCAGAAGAGAGTTTGCCGAGTCTCCTCGTACGTGACCTGACATGCCAGCTTTGGCACCATTCATCGGAGACCTACGGACATCATTTCCGAATCCATTCGTGGTCATCATGGGTGGCGACGCCGGTCCGGGCGTACGGTTCCAGATAGAGTTTGAATTCGACTGGCCGTCAGGCACAGAGGGCAGGTTTGGCGGCTGACGTATGGAGGAAGTGGATCCAGTTCTACCCATTGGCGCAGAGTGCAATGCAGACGCAGGACCGGGGGACAAGGGTTTGTAAGTCCTAAAAGAATTGACCAGGTCATTGATTGTATATGTTGCCGGGGCAAAGGTGTGATCATCAACAACAGTCGTGTCGTCGAATGTCTGTTCCGGTGGAGTGGGCGGGATGTTTTCGTCCTCTTCAACCAACGGGTCCAGCCCAGCCTCATCTCCTACCAAGTCGTCTACCATGTTTCGCATCGCATTGTCTTTGGCAATCGTGGTGGATGCCGATTCCGAGGCGGCAGCAACACTGTATGACTTTTGATCATCTGGAATCGGTGCCTCTACATGTTGAAATAGAGGCATGTCGGCTGCTTGAACCGACAAAACGGGCGAACCGTCGGGCTGGTTGGTGGGACTCGCTAATAGCTCAGATGGCACGCCCTCTTCCCGATAGATGAAGCGCGGGCCTGCCAAATCCAATGGAGCATCTGGGTTCTGCACAAAGAGTAGGCCGTCGATAAGTAGGTCTTTGACGCGCATGAGCATCTCGACGTTTGGATGATTGCGCTCCAGATCGGTCCACTTTGGCTTTAACTTGTCGCCATTATACCATACCTTCATAGTGTCAGGGTGGATGAGCGGCTCGAATCCAATTGTGTCGGTGTCCTCCTCGAGCATGTAGTCTTCCGGGGGCAGCTGGTCAACAGGGAAACTGGAAGCCAGAAGGGAGAGTGTTGCAGCATATGCCTTCCACAACTCCTGGACATCAACGGTATTGAGAGTATCAGCAATGTTTGCGTTGAGTACCTTCCAATAGCGCGTAAACCACGTGCTGTACAGACGAAGCCCTGGGAGGATACGGCGAGCTACGGCAGTAATTTTGTCGGAGAGTTGCACAGCGCGGTCGCCGTTCTGATGCTTCACGTCGTTGCCTTCAGAGAGACGATCCAGTTCGGGTTGCAAGACCTGCAAGAGGATAAAAAAGGTCTTGACGTTGAGACGGAGGTAGTAGAAATATGTGCGCATGATGTTGGGAGGAGGGTTATCACCTAGAATAGTCAGCATAGCCAATCATCAAGAGCTTTCGACATACTTTGCAGCTGGACAGTCGCGAAGTACTCTGCTGACATGTTGATGAGTATAATCTTGGTCAAGACGGAATCCAGCGGGCGTTCCTTGAGCTCAATGGCTAGATGGCTGAGCACTTCGCCCTCCAACTCGTCGTGTGCGGCAAACTCCTCGCCCTTGTACAGCTTGCTGTGCAGCCGGACAAACCACGCGATCAGAGCACGACTCGTATTTCCCTCGGCGTTTTTGTGGTTGTTGATAAGTTGGCCATTATCCCATGCAGCAATGACGCGCTTAAATTCGGTGGCCAGGTTGGCTTTGGCTTGAGGGTACGGCTCTTTGCTTGCAAGTGAGCGGTAGAGATGGTATACGCAGCGGAAATGGTCGCCGTCTTCGCGTGCTATTACGGCGAGTTGGTTCGGGGCATGCCCAGAGTCTGGGTAGATCTCGGCGGCCAAATCATAATATCCCTTGGCGGGGCCCCAATTGCGTTCCTTGTTCTTCTCAACGAGCTCGGTTTCGCGGTAACGGGAGAGGTCGCCAAGTTGGATAAGCGTCTGGTGGCACGAGAGGAGGACCTGCGTCTTCAAGGTTGCGGGAATGCGTTGGCGCAGGGACGACTTGGAGGCTGCTTCATGGTTAGGCTTGGCGTGGCTGGCGGAGCGAGGGAGCCTACTGTCATCCTTCCATTTCCGTGCAATCTTGCGCAGCTCGGGAATACCGTCGAACTGGGCATCCAGGTTCAATATGTACTGGCGGTAGAAGCGCTGGCTGGCCTTGATGAACTGGAGATAGGTCTTTTGGAACTTTCTAATCTCCACGACGCGGTCCTTGGAGCGCTTGAGCTGTCCCTGTGTCAGCGGCGTGCCCCGGCTGTGGTGCTTGGGGGTGCATACAAGCTTGTGCTCCTGTCTGAATGTGGCGTTGACCCTCAGGTGCGCGTTCCAGAGCGCCGCCTGGAATCCGTGGGTCGAGGCGTATGCGAAGTGGGAGAAGAGGAGGGTTTCGCAGGCGGCACGGTACCTGTGGGGGATTAGCAGTCGCCGGCATGTAGTCGTCTCGTTGCCTACTCCTGCAGCACGGCAGCCAGCTCGGCGCATCCGGAGCCGCCATCGACGCGTTTGTAGAGGTGCGTCTCAATCGCCCTCGCCCGCCTGTCGTTAGTCAGCATCGTGGTGCCACCATTGGGGGCCGGGGCGAGGCGCACCTGTCGAGTAGTTCGGTGTTCGCGGCCATGCCTTCTGTAGGGAGGAGGCGGCGACGTTCATATGTGACCCCACGGTCGGCGGGCAGGTCAGACCAAGGCACGGAGCAGGCGGCGGACGTTGTGGCTGGCGTGCTCCATTTATGGTGAAGTTGCGTGCCCTGCGTAAAGGACAATCAGCGCTCGGGAGGGGCTCGGAAGCAAGCAGCGCCCAAGACGCAGAGATGTATGGCGTCAACGTGGGGAGGCGATGGCCGTTGGTCGTGGGTGAGGTGTGGGTGTGAGAAAGTCGGCTTGGGGCGACGATGAGTCGCGAACTAGTGGCCGTCAGTCGGAGCTAAGGGACCAACCACCGCCCGCCCGGACTTGGATTTCGCCCAGCAGCCGCCCGCCCGCCCGCACGCACGCCCGCCCACCCACCCACCAACCCTCCGCCTTTGCCTTTGCCTTTGCCTCACCACAAGTGCGGCAACAGGGAGGCGCCGCCGCCGCAGCCCACAGAAGCCCCACGGATCAGCCAAAGGTACTGCCCATTTTCATACTACGCCTCCTCAGCACACACAAACCATGGGAGTCAAGCGCTCACACCGCGACTCGTCGTCGTCAGACCAAGGCAGCACACCGTATTTGCGTGAGACGTCGGCCGACGTCAAGATAGTCCAGCTCGACACCGATTGCGCCGTGTCGGACGAGGACGCCGTTATGAAGTGCTCGCTGCCCCCGCACGACCCGCTGACGTTTGCGTCGATTGAGGAGCACGACGTGCACTATCGCCAGGTGCACATGAACCGCTGCAGCGAGTGCCAGAAGAACTTCCCAGACCAGCATTACCTGCACCTGCACATTGCAGAGTACCATGACCCCATCAATGCAGCCAAGCGGGACCAGGGCGAGAAGACGGTAGGTGATGCTTCTTTGCTTAGTTTGTTGCGTCTTCGCTGCTCGTTCCGGATGCTCTCTGTTGCCCAACGGCACGAGTCCCATTGTCTGCATACAGCTGGAAGCCCCGAGTGTCGTGGATGATGAGTACGTCCTACGCCGTGTCATGGACCCTGAAACTGATGTGCTGCAGTATGCCTGTCTCCTGCCAGACTGCGATCGCCTGTGCAGCACGCCCCAGAAGCGCCGCTTGCACTGTATAGATAAGCATCAGTTTCCCCGCGAGTACGATTTCATCGTTGTCAAGGATGGCATAGACAGGCGAAGCAGCATGCTGATACCTGCTCACCGACGGCGAAGCTCGACTCTGAGCTCCGCCGGTGGAGGCAACGGAGCGGCTGGAAGGCGGAGAGGTGAGTCGACTTCAAGCACAGCAGGTGACAGTATGGACGTGGTCCGCGACGGAGACGAGGATAATGCACAGCACGTACAGGACGACGGAGAGACGCGACGCTATCCCACCAGGCTCCGTGGGCGTGGAGGGTTTGGCCGTGGTCAGGGCACTGGGCGTGCGATTGGGCGCGGAGACCCGCAAGCGTCGCCGCCTCGCAAGACGATGCCAGCCACACGAACCGCAGATCCCATGGACAGTCTGGCGTCGAGCATGTCGGCCCTCAAGTTCGTCCCACACAGTGTGCGCGTGGCACGCCACAGGGGAAGAGGGACGGTGGTCTAAGGGTTGCTGGGCATATGGCAACGCGATAAATCAAGGGTCCCTGCATTCTCCTCATCTCCAGTGTAAGCGATGCATGTGACGGGCGTATGTCTTGCAGGTTTCTTTTTGGGTCAACATATTTCCTGTGTCCTTGTTGCATGATTGTGGGCCATGTGGCTTTGACAGGATAACAATGCAGCGTTGCCACTTACACGCTCTAGCCAGACGAGCACAGATGCAATGTAGCCATGTGGTAGGATTCGCGCGCCGTGGTGGCAATTAGAGTAACGAAGCTACTGTTTACACTAAGTTCGGACCGACCAGGCAACTACCCACGGTCTCCTTTACCTCCTTTCTCGATGCTTTTGTCGCTTGGGCGATTGGGCACGTCGCCCGGATGCAATACGCGATAGTTTTCTGTCCTCCTCCTCTCCATTGTCGTGTGTAACCAGGCAAGCTAGCAAAAGTGGAGCTCGCAGTTGTTTGCTGCCATGTGGTCCTGTTACACGTGATCCTCAGCTCACCACAACAACGGCACTACCGCACTACCGCTGCATACTGGCAATGGTCACATGTGCCCGGACGCATCCGGCATTTATATCCGCCATGAAGCCGTCGGCTGCGGCTCGACTTGCGACAGCGAACGAAATACTCCGCCATAGAAACCAAACAGTCTGGAACAACGTCCTACGCCCGCATCGGGAACGCCGCATCGGCTTGTTTGATATTGCCCTAGAGCAGGCAGTGTCTATTGAGCCGTACCTGGAGCAAAAACAACAGCAGTCAGCAAGACGCCTAACACTACCCTGCATGCCAGCCGAAAAAGACTGCGATGCAGATATGGGCACTGCTCAGATGGCCGCAATGGAAAAAACCGACCCAGTCAATGGTAAGTTGGGGCATCTGCACAGCATTGACCTGGCAAGTGGAAAGCCCGGCTGACATGTCCAACATGGCAGTGCGCTGCCGACGGTCCAGTACATGGACAAGAATGCTACAGTGCGACTGCACAAACAGTGCGATACTAGCAGCTCTACACCTGAATGCAGAGCGGAATGGTCTGCAGGCTGAAACGAGTGCGCAGCCAGCGAGATGCGATGTGAATCCGCGGCTAGATGCCTGGGAACAGCGATTTGAGGTCATTGGACCTTGCCACGAAGCGCGGGGCCCGCGCGAACAGGATATCTTTGCATTCCACGTCTCGCCACTGGAAGACCGACATGCTGTCCGCGCCTTTACACAACAAGCCAGTCCAAATGGTTCAAGCGAATGTGATTCGCCCGCTTCTGACACGACCCTGTTCGACGAGATGGATGTACGGCCTACCAGCCAATCAAAGGATGCAGAATTCACGCAGCACTGCATGACTAAGAATGGTACATTACGAAACTATTCTCCATGTACAAGCCTCCATCGAGTCCAGGAGCAAGCGACGCCGCCGCCTGCTGAGAGACTAGGTGCGCGGCACCGGCGTCACGTATCCCTGGGTTCGGCCTTTGACACGGTCCGCACACCATCAACCCCACTCCAAGCAGCTAGAGGAAGGGAGAAGAACAACCTGCTCTTCCGCACAGCAAGCCTTTCCCGATCCCCACCGAGGAGCAATCATGGCCGTAAATTATCGTTGAACGTGCCTGTAAACGCGCAGACATTCTTGCCTAAAGGGCTTTGCCGACCCAACCCAATCGATATCAAAGACCGGACAGAGCCATCGTGTCAGCGGGATACTACTCGGCACAATTTCACGCTGGATGCTTTGACACCCGAGGAACGGGATCTGGAGTACAAACATCGCCATACTTTTATTGGAACCGGCTCACTGGATGAGTTTCTTGAGCTTCTGGACATCTCTCCGACATATTGCGTGACGCGGAATGCGGTTGTAGGGGCCTTTTTGCGGTTATCGTCGACAGAACAGCTGCGTGCTCGACAATGCTCGACCAGGTCAGAGGGGTGGAATCTCGTATCACGGACCACGCTAGATTGTACGGATGCCGCTAGCGTCGATTACATGTTACAGTCGCGGGTTAAGCTAGGCTCGATCACGCTACGGCAGTTCCTAGACATGATCCCCTTTGATCACCACAACGAAGTGGCGGCAATGAGGGTGGTCGAGGCGTTTTCCGCTGCAAGTCATATAGACGCCAAGGCGGAGCAGGGCGTGGAAAACAAGGCCAGGGTGTTTAGAAGCTGGATTGTGTCGCGTAAGGTGGAGGCGGGCTGCTGCTGAAGGAGTCTAGGTGTAAGCTGCCGCAAGCGCCTTAAGTAATACGAGCGGGACGCGTGTGTGCGGCTTTACGTAGAACACAGGCCGACGATTCAACGTCTTACATGGAGGCCTGTGCGCTGTTTCTGGGATACCCAATCATTGTTTGAATAGCAATGCATACGACTATTACCACTACTACATGCTTCCATGTGTCGCATCCGGCTGTGCTACGCTGGGCTTTCTCATGTGCACACAGCCACATGTTCCTGTGGCCTCCAAACAGGCCGTGCTACACCACGCGTGGTGACGTCGCCATGGCCTGTCAGTGCCCAGCAGGTCAGGGCATGACATGGTCCAAAGCAGCTAGTTCTTGCTAAGCTTATTGTCAAACTTGCTAGGGAGACGTGGTTGTTCTTATATGACGGCGATACGGTGCATGCCGTGTGTTCCGCCGCGTCGCATTCCCAGGGCTAGCATGTCCAAGCAGGCATCCGAAAGAGCACCCGGACAGCCGGCTGCGCGGTTGCAGAGATCAAGTCGTGTGCACGGCGGGTGGGCGGGCTGTGGTTTGTGGCCTGGATGGATGGTGGCCGCCAGCACAGGGAACGGCGTGCTGCGGCCGATAGAGTGCGTATATGTGTATCCTTGCTGGAATTTCCCCAGATCGCCCGTACGCCGCCGGTACAGGCACGGGGACAGGCACGGGGACAGGCACGGGCACGGCACAGGGGACAGCAGCTGGGCGTGGGAGGGCGGAGAGCGAGTGGCTGTTATGCACGCGTCGAGGCCCGGACGTGGCGGATGTCCTGGGGCTCGGCGCCAAAGCGCGTCCAAGCGGCGCCAAGCCTGTCTATGGGCTTGGCGATTCGCATTACGCATGCCACTTTGGGCCGGTGGGTATTCGAATGCAGGCACGTTCCGTCATCCTCCTGAGATGAGACTCTTGCTAAGCGTCGCAGAGGCGGCCGCCAAGCCTGCTGCCAACGCCCGCCTTTCCCCAGTGGCCCAACCCTGGCCTTGAACCACGCGGAGCACTGAGTTCCAAGCGTCGCACAGTCGCCCAGCTGCTGCTGCGGCACCGCGCCAGGACTTGGCTCGCTGGCAAGGGGTTTCATAACCTCATCGTGCCTCGCCAGCCCACGAGGCTCAACTGGAGGCTTCTCATTTCCCCGCCACATACACCCACCCGCCTGCCTCTGCTTCCACCGCGCTCGCTTTCTCTCGCTCTCACCCGCCCACCACCACCACCACCACCACGGCTTGATGCACACTCGTTTACCCCCCACATATGAGCCGCTTTGCTTTACCTAATTTCTATTCGTGATACCCCGGAGACCCGCAATGAGGCCTTCCACTCTCTTCATAGGCGCACTGGGCCTCCTGTCGCCCATCACAACCTCCGCTCTCGAGTTGAATGTCGACGATCCAGGTGCGTCCCCTGCACCCGTTGCTGCCTGCACTTGGTTAACATGACTAGCCTCGATCAAGCAGGCCACCAAAGTCGTCGCTGCCGGTCTGCGAGAATGGTACACCGGTGACCGACCCGGAGACGTCCCGGGAAACTTGCCAGACCCCTACTACTGGTGGCTCTGCGGAGCCATGTTCGGTTCCTTTGTCGATTATTGGTACTACACAGGCGACGATACATACAACAAAATCACAACACAAGCACTCGTGCACCAGATAGGCCAGCCCAAGGCATTCATGCCGCCCAACCAAACAAGTACTCTGGGAAACGACGACCAAGCCTTCTGGGGAATGACGGCCCTGTCAGCGGCCGAGAACAAATTTCCAGATGCCGAGGGAGAGATGTCGTGGTTGTCGCTCGCCATTGCAGTCTTCAACACGCAGGTGCCGCGTTGGAACAACAAGACGTGTGGCGGCGGGCTCAACTGGCAGATTTTCCCATTCAACAAAGGCTTCGACTACAAGAACACAATCTCCAACGGTGCTTTTTTCAACATTGCGGCGAGACTTGCAAAATACACCAAAAACGACACGTACACCGAGTGGGCAAAAACGGCATGGGAGTGGGAACAGTCTATTGGCTTGGTTGACAAGGACTACCACTTCTACGATGGAAGCAGTGAGAAACAAAATTGCACCGAGAAAAACCATATTCAGTGGACCTACAACGCAGGCATCCACATGTCGGGTGCTGCGGCATTATGGAACATGTCCGAAGCGCAGGGTAATACCGTAAGCATTCCCCCGGTCCCCCCTAAAAGACGACATCAACAATCACCCCCACGGAAAATAAGAAAAAACTACCACCCCCTTTCTCCCGGTTTCTTGCTAACAAAAAGAAGGCGCAAGCAGCCTATTGGCGCAAACATTTGGACGGAATCATTGACAATATCGGCATCTTCTTTAGCCCGGATGGTGCACCAAACGTCATGACCGAAGCAGCCTGCGAGCGCAACGGACTATGCGATCATGACCAACGGTCATTCAAGGCCTATCTCGCCCGCTGGATGGGCTACACCATGTTGAACGCCCCCTACACCCGGGAAAAGTTGATGCCGAAACTGAAAACTTCGGCCGCGGCAGCAGCGGCACAGTGTAGTCCAGGAAAAGGCGGATGTGGTCTTCGGTGGTGGCAAGGCAAAAACGATGGACAAGTCGGTGTCGGAGAGCAAATGTCCGCAATGGAAGTAATGCAAAACCTGCTCATCGACCAAGTCGCCGGACCGGTTGGTTTGGACACAGGCGGCGTTAGTAAGAACGATCCCACCGCTGGAACTGATCCGGGTCCTCTCAAGATCCAGCACGGTGCCATCAAGACAGGGGACAAAGTCGGTGCAGCATTTCTCACCGTTCTGGTCGCTGTCATATTTTTTGGCGGCGGTTGGTGGATGACGACAGTTGAATAGTTTTGCTGCAATTATTTTCATTTATTTTGTTCAATTCTTCACTCCACACGTGTGCATTTTCCGCTGATAGTACAGCACCGGCTCCCCGCATACCACGCACCCTAGTGCTTTTTCCCCTACGCCTGGGTGCAACCATGGATTTAGTTGTCTTATCTATTCGAGCTTTCTATGGATTTAACCTGCTTGCGTAACTTTACTACAAACTCCATCGTTGAACACGCAGTCAACCAAATGTACTCACGGGGTACCTTCTCTCAAGCTAGAGCGTTACCTAAAAACGTCGGTACAACAACCACAGGGAAGATGGAGAAGAAGCCTACTGAGCATGCTATGAAGGTGCCAGGCACGCCTTGAAATACTATGGGGCATATCCTTGCTCCAAAAACCGGGACACCCGCACCTGGCTCTAACACTACTACGAGAAGACTAAGCCCGCAAAGATACGCACTAGCTCCGCTTTAAGCCCAGGGTGAAGCTATAAGGGCAGATGATCTGATCTCTTACATCTCCACCGATCAAATGGTTTCCTGGAACGTCGTATGTGTTGGCTTGTCCCCCAATATAGAATCGGGAGAGCAAGCCACTCCCCACCTTATACCTGAAGCAAATATAGCACCAATGAGAGCCTCAAGCCACTGCAAGAGCCTGGAACATTCACATGCCCTCGAGAGACGGTGAGGAATTTAGGTTCAAAGTCAAGGCAAACGGTGAGGGATCTGAGAGTCTGCAACATGGTCTGTCATTTGTCACGATGCTTCAATACCAACGCAATACAGCTCTCGTTCTACGTTTGGACTGACACCACAATACAAGAGGGAACAGTACCACATTTATCTTTCTCGTGTATCTATTCATTAGCTGCGGAGTTGAATGGAAATGAATATACGTGTACTCTCAGGAGTGTGTATTACAAATCTGGTGTGTACAGCAAGTCCCATGATGCTTGTTTCTAATCCATCCCCACTAAATCTTCCCCTCCTCACCCCCGCATTTACATGGTGAATTAATAATGCAGCAATTGCCAATGAGCGAAGAAACTGCAGCCTGCCCTTGAAGTAAAATGACATCAAAACGGCGATCATGAGGTAAAAGAGCCAACCTGCAGTTGTATATGCTGGACTAGGTCAAATGCACGCATGTACAGATCGCCGTTGCGAGTACTTACGCATTTGTAAGCCACACCGGATATGTCGGTAATAAACCCCCTCTCCCCAACATAAAAATATCCACCACCATATCTCTGGAACACTCAGACAGCAAAGAGATACTGATTCAACTTGTGGTACTGACCCGCGGTTCCAGAAATCATGGCATCATCCAAACCGTTCAGCATCGTGCCAGCAAGCGTACAACAACAACCAGCACCATTTGAGTTGCATATTGAGGAACAAAAGTTGCAGGAATTTAAGACACTGCTAAAACTCAGTCCAATCGCCAAGGAGACGTATGAGAACAAACAGAATGAAGGGGGGCATGGCAAATTTGGAGTGAGTCGGAAGTGGATAGTGGATGCGAAGAAGCAGTGGCTTGAAGTCTTTGATTGGTATGTCAAGCTTAATTAATGTACAGGCAGGCAGATTAACTGACGTTGCTTAGGCGCAAAGAGGAAGACCATGTCAACTCCTTTCCTAACTTCAAGAGCGTAATCAGCGATGACGATGGCCACAAGTACGACGTCCACTTCGCCGCTCTTTTCTCCAACAAACCAGACGCTATCCCTATCGGCTTCTACCACGGCTGGCCTGGCTCTTTTCTCGAGTTCTTACCAATGCTGGACATCTTGCGCAAAAAATATACGCCAGATACCCTGCCATACCACGTCATCGTGCCCTCACTTCTCGGGTATTCCCTTTCGTCTCAACCGCCACTAGACAAGGACTGGAGGGTTGCTGACACTTCGCGCATCATGCACAAGCTCATGCTATCCTTGGGCTTCGGTACTTCAGGCTACCTTGTACAGGGCGGTGACATTGGCAGTGCAGTTTCGCGAGAGCTTGCAATGACGTATGCTGAATGCAAAGGCATGCACCTCAACTTCTTCTACAATCAGGACGTGAGGACGTATTCTTCACCTGAGGATAAGATTAGTGAGGCCGAGAAAAAGGGGTTAGAGAGAACAGACGAGTTCTTTACTGTAGGGTTTGCATACGCCTTCGAGCAAGGGACAAAGCCCTCTACTATCGGTCTTGTACTATCCAGTTCCCCTATTGCCCTCCTGTCTTGGGTTGGGGAAAAGTTTCTTGCGTGGACCGATCCTTCTACTACACCGTCCGTTAACACCATCTTAGCGGATGTTACACTATACTGGTTGACTGGATGCTATCCGACATCAATTTACCCGTATAGAAGGACTGGCAACACGACGTATGTAGATAAGCCCGTAGGCTTCAGCTGGTTTCCCTACGAGGTTGCGCCGATTCCTAAGGCTTGGTTCGAGAAGACAGGCAATGTTGTTTTTTACAGGGCACATGAGGCAGGTGGCCACTTCGCTGCGCTGGAAAGGCCACAGACGTTATTGACCGATGTGGAAGAGTGGGCCAAGACCGCGTGGAAATAAAAGGGGGAGTTTTGCTGAGGTTAGTGGGCTCCATCGGGGTCTTGCATTGAACCAAGTACGGCCTGAAGGCAGGCAACAATTAAAAAGAATCCTCTTAGTCCAAGTTGAGGACGCAATTACAAAAAGCAGTAATGCACATGGGTCGTGTCAAACGTGGAGCCCTCGTTGCCACATTGCTCGGGAGGCGCGGCTGCGGCTGCGAATGCATCTTTAGATTTACCGGACGTTCCATCTAGTCATTGTGGATTGAATTCGCAAATGCTCCAGGCCTCTTGTATAGAGTAAGGGGAACGTGTGTAAGGGATCAAGTTTGGGACCGGAGTATGGGGTTCTGCCAACATGCCTGTAAGCGGCTAGTGGCGTGGCTGTGTTGCCCCTAATGACGTACCGGTACCAATGCGACGTCCTTGCCAACACAATCCATCTGCATGCCCGCGACAGCTGTTGCGCCGTGAAACGTGCCGTCGGAGAATCCAAATCGGCCATGGGTACATGAACAAAGTCGCTCGCTCAACATCCGGACATCTGTCGCCATCTTTCCTGTTGCCTACCAGCGTCCTCTCGTCATCAACCACACTCGCTTGCCGAAATCCGGCTGAACCGACGCTGACTCACAGTGCCACGACAAACAATGGGGCGCCTCGAATTCGGGGAATTGGGCTCGATATGTAGTTTTGTCCGGAGCCGATTTGAAGAGAGAACTGAGATGAAGAGGAGGCAAGGAAGGTCTGCGAGCGATCCCGGCATAGCAGCGCTGGCCCGCAAACAGACATATGGCAAACTGCACAAGGCGCCTACCGTACAGACGTTGCATGAGCGACGAGAACGACCCAGGAATAGACTGCAGAAAAGCAGACCGCAATCACTGCTGAGCGTCATTCCGCCCAACCCCCCTCTTTTCGTACTGGAGTACGACCCTTATCCGTATAATACGCGGCCGGGCCAATTCCTGGGCGTGTACTCGAGCATTGACACGGTGACAGCGGGCGCAATTCATCACGGTGCGTACTCGTTTTCAAGAGAAGGGTTGCTGGATGGATGCGAATACCTCAGTCCGACGGGCCGTATCAAAATTGTTTCGTACCCAGTGCAATCCACAGGTGTGACGGCCCCTGTGCCAGGAGAAACACCACAGAAGGACGGCCAGCCCCTTCGCCTCGACATCCCGCATCCGCTCAACCAAGAAACACCGCGATTCGACAGTCACCAAGATCTCAGCAAGCCAAAAAAGAGCCAGCAAACCGTCTATTTGGCGCTTCACGAGAGCCCCCAGAGTTCGTTCGGCATTGGACTGTTTACTAGCAAGAGCTTAGCGTGGGGCGCGTGCTTGAAAGATAAGGCCTGGCTGGAGTGGACCGATAAGCTGGTTGAGCAGGAGAGCAGCATAGGCGAGAACAACGCACCAAGAGTGACGGCGAGGTTGATTGGAAGTGGACGACATTGCTGGTTTGTAAAAGCCATGGATGTCGACGGCAAGGGAAGGTGAAAGCTGATTGGGTATATTTTTTCGAACGTTGATACACATGACGAGATGCACACAGGATGCATACCAATACCGCAAGCCATGTCTAAAACGGCCGGACCATGCGGCCAGACACGCAGCACACACACACCGCCTTTGGGAACTACAGCACATATACCGACCGGTCAAAGACGCGTCAAAAACGGTCCCAGATTTTTTAACTTTGGCCTTGGGCTTTTTGAGTTTAGGGTGAAAAGTCGAAGGCGGTGGAAAGTCGAAGGCGTCCCCCCCGCGTGACGCACACATGCGCAAGTCCATTGTCATGCATATCGGCAAAGTGCATTTCAGCTACTCATCTTATTCTTCGGCATCGCAGCGCAGCGCATCACATCGTCTCTTCCCTATTCCTGTACTGGTATTAGCAATTGCCGTCCTGCAGAAAAGCATACCGAGTATGTATGTATGATGCGAGACTTGAGCTCAGTGTAAGCAAGAAAGCAAAAAATACCTCTCTCTTATTACAAATTCCCTTTATTCAATCATTATGCGAGAGCTAGAAACGCTAAAACGATGAGAGTGTATGATAGGAGGAAGCAATGAGGCGTAAATGTCTTTTATTTTTTTTTGCATGTATGCTTGAGGCAGCACATTTTTTTGCACACGATGAATGTAAGGGCGTTCGTTGGGTGATGGAGTTTACAAAACCAAAGCTCTTTTTGTTGTATCTTTCTCCATTCTTTTCTTTTCACATTTCCGTAGAAACAAATGTAGGTAGAATCTCGAATCTAATAGAGGACGTCGCTTTTACCCTCTTTATATATATATATATATATATATCTCCATACGTACCACTTTTAGCTTTTTATCCATTCCCCTAAGTATGCATACCAATATCTAGCTTTTCTTCCCCCCCCCCCTTTTAACTAAAAACTGCTTTGTGTGCCGCTAGGATGACGTGAAGTTTCAAGGGGCATGTATATACAAAAAACTGTACACATTTGGACGGTAAAAAAAACAGAGAAAAAAGAAAGCAAAGTCAATGCTATTGATGGACAGATCTTCGTCCTAGTTTGCTTTTTTTGGGGGGGGGCTCCTCGAGGTCCCGAGATGAGCAGGGATGGTGCTTGCAGCTGATTGATGCAGGGCAAAAAAACAAATCATAAAAAAGAACTGATAAACGGCGATCATGCTATTTTGAGATGTTTGATAAATCTTTTTTCTTTCTTTTTCTTCTCTTTAGACTCGATTGGTGGCTGCGGAGAGAAGGGATACGAGCTGTGTGTGTGTGTGTGTAACCTGGTATGTATGTACATGCGATGCACCTTTTTCCATTTGTGCTCTCCTCACTCTTGCAACGCATACGTATGTACCTGTGTCTCCTCTAGTGTCTCCTAAGCGACTCCCATATTCCCAGCCTTTTGCCCCTAATTTCGACATGTACACTCCGAATTCGCAGTATGACTTTGATGTACTTGGCGTACCTTTTGTTGAAGTTATCAATAAAAGCAAAGAAAAGCAAAGAAGCATCCGAAGCTTGTGGAAAAAAAATGATAGTATCATAAAGCAGTCATGCATTACTTATTCTTTTTTTTTCATAGTGGCTGATCTCCACTAAAATCGCTTGCTTGTTTCTAGAAGCAGTGCATGTGAACAAGCAAGTTGATTTCTCGCATCTTTTGGAATTCCCCAAGTGCTAGTGCTAATAGCAGTAGTGTTATGCTGGTATTCTCTCTCCTAATCATACTTGATGCGTAGATCCTGCACTCGAGGATACACGTGACACCAAACCTATTGACAATGCAAGGAAGAGACTGGGAAAGAAGGAGACTAACTGGACTAGGCCTTGTATAGAAATATGCCAGCAATAGTACCAATGACATGGTAGGAAAGAAACATTTCCATCTTGTAAACGCATTTATCCATGTGGTAGTGCAGCGAGTCATGTGCGTGCAAAAGCAAGTTTATTTTCTTAGTGGCGGTGTAGAATAGCTACGTTGCCAAGTGCAGCATTCATCTTACTTTCTATACTGGCACAGCTCGGGATGTACGATACTCGACAGATACTATGTACTAGATGATTTGCAGTGCTACATTTCAACAAAGGGAGTTGAGCGCATGCAACCTGAATATAAGAGTAGGGTTGATATCGTCTTTTGCTCAAGCGTTAGTTGGTGATGTATGTAGCATCCTTGATGGTATTACACATGTACTAGCAGTCTTGGTCGTAGGTGCTGAGGTCAGCCTCTATTTCAAGCTAGCTTCTTGGATAGTGCATCTGGCGGTGTTGTTGAGGAAGCCCGCTACTCGGATAGTGATCCCAACGTTGCTGACATTCGTTGGTTGCCTGTAAACAAGTTATTGCAGGGAAAAAACCTGGTGCATGCAAGCATTGTAGGCATAAAAGATGCCGCGTCTCGACTATTCGCCAGATCCGAGACGGCCCTATTTTTATACCTACTCGGCACATCAAGACGGGACGTTACCAGGTCAACCTTTCCAAGCTTCCCGTGTATCCGATGGTAAATTCCCAGCATAGCCCTGTCTTAGCCGATGCTAGATTGGGGATATGAACAAGCGTATCTGGTTTGAGGGCTGATTCCGAGACGCACAATGACTTCACGGGCCTACGGTGATATAGGTTGGATGCTGCGGTGACCCTGCAATGCTCTTACACCAGCTGCTTACTGGCATGGCGTAGTATCCAACCATTGACTGTGAAGCGCATCGCGACGAAACACTGATGTACTGCCGATGCATCGGCTCCTGAGTTGAATCGCTAAATCCGGGTCAGCGCCACGGCGGTTCAAGATGGCGGGATAGATGGATGAGTTGTAGGGCGCCGTGCCGTGCGCAACTTTAATCGCGCTTTTTCTTGTCCAATTGAAACGGAGCTAGGCTCTGCAATGACTGTGTTGCGACTCGATTTTCCTAGTATTGTTTCCATATAACGTCAGCAAGCAATGGTACATGCCGGGTGGTACTTGAGTACCGGACACGTGTATGTCGGTAGGAACAAACTTGATTTCCGAGGGGGGGGGGCGAAGAGTGGAGTTCGGAGGATGCGGGTAGTGTAGCAGGGTGACTGGAACGGTCTATTTGTGCATTGAATATGGCCGAGCACAGTTTGGGGCGCTCAGGCGGCAGCGCAGCAAGAGGCCCAATGGGCACCAGTGGGTTGGGATGGGGCGACGTCGTGTCTGTGAGTGGGTGGCTGCAGTGACAGGTCGAGGCTGTGCAAGGGCCCACAGTTCTTGCGAGGCTATATGCTGTGTGCGTGCTATGCCGTGCGTGTGCAAAGTAGGTAGCAGGTGTAGTACATGCTGTACAGAGGATGCTGGCTGCCGGGCTAGGAGCGTGGAGATGTGTGGTGCGGGAGCGCACGGGCCAGCGACTTGGGGGGAGAGACTGTGTGTGTGTGTGTGTGTGTGGTGTGGATGCATTGTCCAGAATGGCGTGCCAGCCTCTTGCAGATACGGAGCGAGGCATTCCGGGCTGATGATGTGAGCTCCCAGGAGGGAGGAGACGAGGCGGTCGTCTCCTGCGAACAGGGTACGCGGTTGATTGGCCGCAGGCGGCAAGTCATGACCTCAGCTCGGCGCACCTGTGGCAGGCTCTGGAGCAGCACATGTTGCCTGGGGGGTTAGGGAGTATTGAAAGGAAGCGGGGCGGGCGTGTGAGAGGGGGCGTGTGCGTGTGCGTGTGCGTGTGTAGGGGGTGGGGAGTGGAGGGTAGGATGGATGGGTGGATGGGTGGATGGATGGATGGATGGGGGATAGGAGTGGTGCCCGCAGCTTGCTGGCGATGCTGCACCCATCACCCGATCGCCGCGCGCATCCAATGGCTGGCGACATGGGCCCATAGATGTGCTGCAAGGGCCGCGACCGCGACCACGACCACGACCACGACCACGACCACGGCCGCCGGCATCACATGCGAACAGCGACAGGTGCTTTGTCGTATTCTTTCTTTTTGGGCCGGGGGCCATGGTGGTGGCGCCCGGCCATCTGGACTGCCGTGTGCGTGGCTGGTCGGCTTGCACTCGCGCGGTTTGCACATCCTGCCAGGGTTATCGAAGGATCGTCGTGTCTATACGAGGCTGCCGTGTCCTCGGCGCCTGGGGCTGGCCTGCGCAAGCCGATGCCCAAGGCCTGCGCCTGCAGGGGCCCATGGTGGCAGTCGTACTACATACCTCCACTCATGCTCAAGCCATCGTCACCGCAGCCTCACTCTCGCCCATGGCTGCCGAAAAGCAGGGAAGCACGCAATCAAGCAAGCAAGCTGGCTCTAGTACCAAAATTCTCTCTATCATACACCTGCCGCCCAGCCACGTCGCCTCACTGCCCTCGCTCCCCTCTGCCCGTTGCCTGACAGCTGTCGCCCGACGCTTCACTTGCTCCCCGTTCTTTCCAGCGCCCGCGCCCGCCCCTCTGTGCCATCCTCAAGACGCGGGCCCAAAAGCAACTCTCGTCCAAACAAGAAACATGGGTGCATCCAGAGCAAGTCGTCAACGTGACCCGTGCGTAACAATTGCCTTCGTACACCTACCCTGCCATTCATTCCCCCGCTTTTCCCCAAATGCACGCCCCCAGCGACGCACACATGGCCACCTGCTGCCGACAAAAGAAACCTAGTCATGCAAATCCACAGCACAATGCCACAAAAACACGCCCCGCACTGCACCATTGCAACCCAAGCAAAAAAAATAACCGATGCAGATAGCCTCCCGCCATGAACACCCCATGCCCATTGATTGCCCGTGAGATAGGCGTGACAAATGAGAGAGAGATGGAAAGAAAAGAAAACAAGGCAACACAATCGACCGTGGCCTTGACCAGTATATGTACAGAAACTAAACAAAATGTAGTTTTTGTCGTCGGGTAGATGCGTGAACGAGCACAGAGTCGGGTAAGCTCCTCGCCTAAGTCGCGGCGGATGCGCTGCCTGAATGGCATGGCATCTGGCATGCCCATGCCGCACAAGGCCTAGCCACCAGCAGGATCGCCATTACCCGAACTCGCGACTATCATCATCGCCGTCATCATCGCCGCCGTGCTGTAGACGTCGGTCGCGCTGCCGACGAGCCCGCGCCTACTTCCTCGAGGAGGTCCATGCAACACGTCAACACTGCTCAACGTTAGCCAAAACGCGTCCTGTTCATGTACTGTAAAAAGAACAAAAAAAAATCATCATAATACGCACTTGCTACAATTTCCTCTTCCCACACGCCCATCTGGTAGTCGACCAAGCCGTGCTTTTCCATGCTGTCACAGTTCTTGACCAGCTGCGTGCCCATCTTCTCCAGAAAGTCGTAGTCGATCAGCGACTTGGGGCTCGGCGGGCGCTGACCTGTGCTAATCATGTCCTGCGTCATCGTCTTCTGCTTCTGCAGTGTCGAGAGCCAGCACGTGTTGAACTCTTCCCACAGCTGCAGACGCTGTTGGTAGTATGTCTCGTCGTCGCGCACTAGACCTGCTGTCGTCAACTCAGCTGTTCGCTCCATCTGCCGCGGTCCAAGAAAACTCACCCAGTGTTTCGGCAAAATGCAACAGCCAGTCGGACATTCTGAAGAGCATGGCGCCTGCCTCGCTGAGCCGGCCGTCACGCACATGCTCAAACGTCTTCTTGAGCTCGCTTTGGTAGGTTCGGTAAAAGTCGTCGTAGTCGTTTCCGCTGTTGGCCTGCGTCTCGCTGTAGCTACCCTGCGAGTAGCCCGCCTGCGAGGGCGCCTGGTGAGGTTCCGTCATGCCAGCCGCGCTGTAGGGAGGCGCGAGGGCTTCTCGTCCGACCTGCGTCTGCGAGGCTGAATATGCGAGAGAGGGATACTGCGAGGGGACGCTCTGCGAGGCAATGGCAGAGGCGGGCGCGCTCGTGGGCCCGCCTTCATAGTACTGCGGCTGTGCAACGCCAAAGCCGGTGCTTAGCACCTGGATAGCCGAGTCCCTGTTTTGCTGGTACTGTTCCACAGGCTCATACTGCGACGAGGCCGTCGCCGAGGCCTGGCCACTAGGGACGCTGTACATGATGTTCTGGCCATAGGGCGAGTATTGTTGGGGCGTACGCTGCGCCTGCTGTTGCTGGTCGGCGGCATAGTCTTGCGCGCCATAGGATACATTCGAGGGCTGAATCGACGAGCCAAACTGTGCGCCTTCACCGTAAGCGTAACCGTAACCCTGCGCGCTGGCGCGACTGCCAGACGGGGGGAGAGAGGTAGGCGGGGCAGGCGCTGTCAAGGGCGGCTGCCTGAAGCGATCGGGAGCGCTTACCACTGGATACGATGTCTGTGGTGGAAGGAGCGTGCCTTGCTGGCTCGCGTAACCTGAGGGAGTATGCCGTGGCCGGCGGTCATTGTCCATCCCAACCAGCCCGCTTTTATACTGCAGACTGAAGGGCGGTTCGAGAGCCCGGAACCCCGAGGGCGAGACTGGCGGCGTCGCGTAGTTGGCCAGCTTGCAGGCTTGGGGGGGGGCGGCACGGTACGTGGGAGACGGTCGGGCGCAAGAGGGAGTGGGGGCTGGGGGAGTGCAGCGAGCGGATGTGTGTGTGTGTGTGTGTGCTTGCTTGTACAAGGCGGGTAGATGGGTGGTAGATGGGTGGTAGATGGGTGGTGGATGGATGGGTGGACAGATGGATGAATGGATGGGTGGGTGGACGGATAGATGGGCCGGAAACAGATGGTCAAGATGCGGGCCAGTAGTCGGTAGATGTATAGCGTCCGAAATTGGAAAGCACGATGGATCCAGGTCCAGATGGTTTGGATATAAACACGGCGGCGACACGTCGATTCGTCGGCCAACGGAGCCCAAGGGACGACGGTGCAGACAAAGGTCGCGCAAGAGGGTCGGCAGCGGCCAGGATATCCTCGCTCTGGCGACACCAAGCGGAAGCGCAATGCTATGCTCTAGCGACCGGGATGCGCGGTCCCGAAGTGGAAATGCTGGAGAAGATATGCGCGTCGGGTGGAGCGACTAAACACGTAGCCGCCACCTGACAGCGAAATTGTCCGGTGGAGTCGAGCGTGGAGGACCCTGCCGGGGCTGGGCTGGTGGTGAGGCGACGCTTATGCGTGACAAGTTTGAAGGGTAGTCCTTGCAAACCGATCAGTGTTCCAACAAGCCGGAGTGGGCACACGCCGGGCTAGGAGATGGGCTCAAACCAGTCCAACGTCTGCGGTGCGGGAGCTTAACGGCTTGATCCGACACTGACGTTGTCGACGGCGCAGCGAGCGCCTGTCCAAGGGGGAGGGGGAGGGGGGCAGAGGCAGAGGCAGAGGCAGGTTCACGGCAGGCGTCGAGGGGACTGGCGGGCGGAAGCGAGGGCGGCCGGCAGCAGAGTCCGAAATGGCGCTAAGCGGGACCCCCGGCGCAGGCGGTAAGATTTGAGGAGTGAGGCCCTGGAGGCGTGGGAGGGACAAGATGACAGAGTCGCGCGTGCAGAGGGCGGCGGCCACGACGCAGCCGTGGGCGGCGGGCGTGCGTGGTGTCGTGCGTGGTGTCGTGCGGGCAGCGCGAGAGATGGCCGAGTGAGGCTAGGTGAAGGAGCAGCCCCCAAGGCCAGCGATCGCCCACAGGCGAGCGCACCCCTGCTCTGGTGGACGGGAACTTGCAGCGTAGCAGAGAGCGCGCGAGCTGCCACTGCTCTTCTCATGCCATGGGCGGGCCCCGCTGGCCTCGAGCGCATACGGTGCCGCACACAGGACGCCCGGTGCGCGGGCGGTCGAGACGCCAACGTGCTGAGGCCGTGAAGGTTCGACGTTTGTTTGATGATTTGGCAGCAGCGACCAGGCGGCGGATGCGCCTCAGCACCCGACGGGCCATGGCAGCGTGAAACAAGAGCGCGACGGGCTTGGTCGTCGTCGTCGTGGAGCGGTGCGGGCAAGAGGCATGCAGGGCGTTTGGCAGCGGCGGCGGTCCAGCAACCTGCGACATTTGGCCGCCGTGGGCCCGCCGCGCGGAATGGGCTCTCTCCCTCTCTCTCTCTCTCTCTCTCTCTCTCTCTCTCTCTCTCTTGCATTGCCCCTTTGGGCGGGGAGGGTGAGCGCAGAGAAGGGCCAGGCGCTGCAGGCACAGGCACAGGCGCAGGCGCGTGTGCAGATCCACCATGGGCGATCCGTGACTGTGGCCCGTCCATGGGCGACCGGGGCCCTCGCCCTCGCGCCCCACGCTGACCAGATCGGAAATCGGAGACTTCGCATGCTTGCTGACATGCAGCCCGAACGCAGGCCCTTCTCACTCGTCAGCCATGGCCTCGTCCGGCCTGCAGCCACACCCACTTGTCAGGTACCCACCATTGTTTTCTCCTCTAGTTTCAACACCCTGGCCCAGGTATTTACAGCCCTCGCCGGCGTGGCTTGGAAACCACCTGCTTCCTTTTGGCCCTCCGACCGCCCCCATGCCCTCCCAATGTAGCCATCTTGCTTCGCTCCCACAGCGCCTTTTCTTCTGTGCCCATCCACTCGCTCGCTCTCCCGCTCTCCTACTCTCCCACTCTCCCACTCTCCCACTCTCCCACTCTCCCACTCTCCCACTCTCCCACTCTCCCACTCTCCCACTCTCCCACTCTCCCACACGACGCCCGCCCCCGCAAGGACCAGTGGCTCTGGCCGCGAACTCTCCGTCATGTCCTCAGCACGGCTGAGCCCACACTACTCTAAGCTGCACCGTTTACCCCGAGCTAAGAAAAATACTGCCGCCTGCGACTCTGCTGAGAAGGTCCCACGCAATGCGCCGCTTGTCGCGCCATCCACGCCGCGCACTGATGCTCTTCCACCACGACGGTATCAGCGTCGCTGCACGTGAGCCGCCGCCCTCGTGCGCCCTTCTCCCACTACCCACGCCTACTCCCACTACGCCTACTCCCACTGCGCCTGCTTGCCCACACGCCTACGCGCCCCATGACCACGCATCGCCTAACGAAACCAGCGTAGTCCTCATGGCCTGCTTGGCCCTCATCACAGGCCACACAAGTGCGTCATTTCGGTACGGATGCCGATCATCCAGTGGCCCCAGCTGCCGTGTCAACCTACACCGGCCGCCCCTTCCAACACCACCAAGCACACCACACCACACACGCCGCCCGCGAACATGCTTCGAGAAGCTCTTGCTTGGATCCAGAAGCCCCTGACTCGTGTCACCGCCACGATGCTGCACTGCGCAATTAACAAGATACGCGCTTGCGCACCCTGTACGCATGTACGCGCCTTCATGCCCGCCGTCTCGCTGCCACGGCCCTCGGCTACTCACAATCCTGCACGTGCAACACCCATGCTCGAATTGCCATGTCTCCCAATTCCACCTTTTCCTGCAATGTTACATCCCGAAGTAACCGACGTGAGAATATCCATAGCTTCACCCTCCCACCCCCACACTCATTCGTCGCCCTACCGTTGAGTCCACACAGGCGAGTCAGCAGCGTCACCACCTCGTTTCCACTTACCCTGAGCGCCCACTGCCACACTGCCAAACTGCCCATGGAAACCGTTGGCGACTACTTTTCCCTACGAAGCCCTCTCCCCCCCCCCATCGCCTCCGCACTCGTCAAGTGCTTCATTTTGCACTCTATCTCCATCTGGTTCAAACCATCCATCGTGGCACTCTTTATGCGAAATCACACCTGTTAGCGCACCACGGCCCAGTCCACCATCAGCATGACACTAACCCCATGTACACGCGAATATCACGCGCTTCTTGTATCGCAAACACTCGCACCAACGTCGTCGCATTCAAGGATCATTGCTGGAAGACGGTTGTCAACGACTGCCAGGGACGGTCCGAGAAGGCAGCAACAGCCTGTCCCCCGGCAGGGTTCATCCTACATGCCTGTCTAACCTGACACTTGACCTGCGTCCCCGAGGCACCCAGACAGGGTTTGCCGGTATCATGTCCCGACATGTTAGGAGTTTATGGCAGTGTGAATCGGGAAGTAACTTTATCTGGCGCCTGCATCATGACAAGATAAAAAGGTACATTCCCGCCATTCGCTTGGCGCCTTTGCATTTACATACGCCATGTCTAGTAGATAGTACACATCTCATCGCTTGACCCAGGTAGGCATCTTGCGTGCTTTGACGTGACCTGGTTTCTTCCTCTCTACCTTCCTTGGGTCGCGTGTTATGGTTCCGGCTAAAAAAGTACAAGTCAGCCACCATCATCTTGAAAGCGGACCCGCAACGTGCTTGGGGTTCCTGGAGGCTTTTTTTTCTCGTAGTCGTGTGGAGCCTTGTAATGAAGGAATGCGCATCGGGCACAAAAAAAAGCCACTCACCTCGTCTTACTGCTGGCTTCAGTGCTGGTTCATGAACCAGCAATGCTTTTGCTACCGCCAAAGTCATGGCCTCTGCCTGACCTGTCAAGCCACCGCCTCGAACCAGAGCAAAAACATTGTACTTGTCAAGCCGCTGAGTAGCCTTGAGCGCCCACACAGCACTCTCCCGATGGTGCAGCCGTCCAAAGAACTGCGAGAGGGACTTGCCATTGACCAGCACCTCGCCCTCGCCTTCTACCAGCCATGCCACCGCAGAGGATGTCTTCCTCCGCCCAACACCTTTGGCGCGCCCAAGCTCGTCAATCACGCCAGGCTTTGGTTTGATATCTCCAGGCTGGTTTGGCTTCTTATACCGCTGCATAGCTTGCATAACCTCTTCGGGCATGAGCGAGGGGTGGATGCAATTCAGCCTCCGCAGTATTTGCAGCATGCCGTGGTATCGTGCCGTCTTGACAGGCTCGTTGGTCATGATGCGGTATTGCTCAGTCGTCTTCCAAGCCACCTTGGGCGCTTCTGCAGGCGGTATTACGGGCAGCGTGGCAACACTGCGGAGGAGAGCCGACAGCGAAAGGAAGTCGTCGGTAAAGGTGGGCTTCGCGCTGAAGTACGACGGCGATGCAGGTACAACACGCAGTGGTCGTGCTTCGCGCTTGAATCCTCCTTCTTCTTCTTCATCACCACCGCCTCCCAGTGTTTCGTAGTTGATTTCGGGCGCCGCCTGAAATGGCTCTTGTACCTCTTCTTCGCCGACTTCAGCATGCCTTGCGGCTGTGGTTGAAATGCATCGCCGTATCTGAGGGTCGAGGCTCCGTTGAGCCAGTCGAATCGTCCGTTCGCATTGGGGCCGTGGTCGGCTCGCCAGAGCATCCCATGCCCTCCATAGCCCCCTCGAAAGCTCCCTGCTTGCCATTGCGCCGCTGCTGGATCGGGGCGCACCGCAATTGCCTTGTCGAAAAAGTGCCAGTGGTTGTGACGGCGAAGGTGAACCGCGCGCAAAATGCCAAGACGGGCGAACTAAAATTGCCGTCTGTGCTCAGACACAGATTTCTGCGCAAGCAATAGCCCCGCGCTCATTTCCACCAGCCTTTTTTTTTCTCCCACACCTCTCCCACTGATTGTTTTGCTCAACCAACGGCGAACTCTGCAATCATGTCTTTCGGAAAGCTCTACAGCTACGCGGTATGCTCTCCCTTTTTTTCTGCACTGTGCTCCAGAGCAGCGTGTGCTAACGGCAGTTGGACAGGGCAACCCGCGCACCACGTCTCTCCTGGCTGTCGCGAAGGAGAACGGCCTCGACATCGAGTTTGTCAACACGGAGCCAGCAAAGGGTGTCTCTGCCGAGTACCTGAAGCTCAACAAGCTCGGCAAGGTTCCCACCTTTGAGGGCGCCGACGGCTTTGTCCTCACCGAGTGCATAGCCATCGCTGTCTACCGTAAGTGCTACCCCGCTTGCCCCCTATTTGCACAAAATGATGTGGAATGTTTATCATTCAGTTATCCCTGTCTGAAAACTACTGTTGAGAACTTAATATTTCTGATTTACGCTTGCAATTCTCGTTCTGCCCGACCAGCTTTTTGTTTGTGGTGGTGACTCAGAGCTGACGCCTTGGTGCAGTTGCTTCGCAGAACGAGAAGACCAGCCTTCTCGGCAAGACCAAGCAGGACTACGCCACCATCCTGCGATGGATGTCGTTTGCCAACACCGAGGTCCTCTCTCCCCTCGGCGGCTGGTTCCGCCCCATCCTCGGCCGCGACCCTTACAACAAGAAGAACGTCGAGGACGCCCAGAAGGCCGCTCTTAAGGCTGTCCACGTCATTGAAGAGCACCTGCTCACACACACCTACCTTGTTGGTGAGCGTCTGACTCTTGCCGACATCTTCGCCACCAGCATCCTGGCCCGTGGCTTCCAGTTCTTCTTCGACAAGCAGTGGCGTGACTCCAACCCCAACGTCACCCGTTGGTACGAGACGGTCTACAACCAGGCCAGCTACTCCGCTGTTGCCCCCAAGCTTGAGTTTATTACGGAGGCTATGAAGTACGTCCCACCCAAGAAGGAGGGTGGCGACAAGAAGAAGGAGCAGCCCAAGGCCGCCCCCAAGCCCAAGGCTGAGGAGCCTGAGGAGGAAGAGGAGGCGCCCAAGCCCAAGGCCAAGCACCCTCTCGAGGCCCTGCCCAGGGCTACATTCGTCCTTGACGACTGGAAGCGCAAGTACTCCAACGAGGAGACGCGCGAGGTTGCCCTCCCCTGGTTCTGGGAGAACGCCAACTTCGAGGAGTACTCCCTGTACAAGGTCGACTACAAGTACAACGATGAGCTGACCCTCACCTTCATGACTGCCAACCTGATCGGTAAGTGCATCCGCTTGCTTCAGGCAACAACCAATACTGACTCGTGCAGGTGGCTTCTTCGCCCGTCTTGAGGCCAGCCGCAAGTACATCTTTGGCGCTTGCTCCGTTTACGGTCAGTCCAACGACTCGGTTGTCACAGGAGCTTTCGTCATCCGCGGCCAGGAGGCTCTCCCCGCCTTCGATGTCGCTCCCGACCACGAGAGCTACTCCTTCACCAAGCTCGACCCCACCAAGGAGGAGGACCGTGAGTTCGTCAACGACCAGTGGGCGTGGGACAAGCCCCTTGTCGTCGACGGCAAGACGATGGAGTGGGCCGACGGTAAGGTGTTCAAGTAAAGGCTTCGCCAGCTTGGTGGACGTTTTGCTTTGATTTATGATGCGGATGATTTACGACCTGGCATGGGTATAGAGGGGACAACGGATGACTCATGAGATCATGTTGGGCAGCCCTTGGTAGACCAGCAACACTGCCACGGCCCGAGAGAGGCTGGAAAAAAATGCTGCGCAAGAAAGTTGATGATACCCAACAGCTAGACTGGACGCTGGTGACGTGACGTAGCAAAGTATAAATGTTGATGTGGTGTTGCGGTTGGCGGGACGACGCTTGCGGCTTGGCGAGATTGGTGGACAAATGTCTCAGTCACAGTGGTGATAAGGGCAGGGCGCTTTGGTCAGCGCCACAACCAAGCAAGCCCCGAAAGGCGCATCTTACATGGCCTTCCCTCGCCACTAGGTTTTGCCAGGCATTGGCAACCCCAGATCTAGGCTCGCATGGGGCGGGGCCAGCGACATGTGGCTTGACCTGGGCCGAGGGTGATTGGCTGCCGGCCAACAAGCACTGAACATGCCGGGCCAACCGTCAAAGGAAGGCTGGCAAGCACGGCGAGGGCGGGCGCATAGGCCTCTGCGCTGTCGTCGAGTCCGCTCTCCAAGTCAAAGCAGCTCTGCACTTGTCCCTCCGTACTGCTGCCTACATCCGGCCAGCTGCGCCTCCGTCAAGCGCCCCCACGCGGCCACGGTCCATCTTAAAGGCGACGCGCTGCTGTCCCCCCGGCTGTGTGCCATAGCAGCGGTGCTTCTCGCGGCGACAAACACGGCTGCTTCGGTCATCGCCAAATCGCATCGCACAAGACATCCAAGGCCCTAAGTCGTCCTTTGCGTGTCCTTCGTCGCCCATGCAGTGCAAATCTCCGCTCGACCCGTGGTTTGCTGCTTCGCTGCTTGGTCCTCGCCGCATCCTCGTTGGGGAAAAGAGCTGGGCATTGTGACTGGAACTCGGCCTACAGGGACAAGGGTACAGACGGCTATTGGGGAGCATTAGGCTGGAGTGTAACAGCTGCTGTCGGACGAAGGACGGCGCCCTGCATCAGCTGTTCGTGAGTCGTGCGTCGCATCGTTCACGCCGTGCAACAATTGTAACCTGGACATCCCCAACAGAGTGCAGCACCCAGGACCCGAACACCTACTTTTAGCCCTTCCTGCGCCTTGACGGGCGACCTGCGGCGTGGACAGAAAAAAAACACCCGAAAGAGCGCGATTAATATTGCTTCTCCAGTCGCAACCGGAACCATCGGCAACTTCTTCGAGAGCACGATACTGCGCTCACAAGGCTCTGAGAATTGTTCGTCACAAACTCATTGCTTGTGTGAAACGTACCTGTTTGCCAGAGCTAAGGCATCAAGAGGAGGGTCGTCGACTGCACAGGTGGCTGAGACGAGCATTCCAAAACCACAAATCCTGTACAGTCTGAGACGCCCTCACGACACAACTTGTTCGCTGAAAGTAAAGACCTAAGGGGCTTGGAAAGAAAGACGTCGTCTCTGTGGGTATGAGAGAAGATGATGGAAGTGGAAGGGTCGTTCGGAGATCTTCCGGACACTCTAACGAGCCTGCGATCCAGGTGATCTGTTTGGTAGGTTCTCTCGGACGATATCTGCATTTGATATGCATCCAGGTCTGCACACGTATCCAAAACCAAGGCTAACATCAGCAGGGCTCGGGTGGCGGGCCAAGCGAAGACAATGTCACAGGCTTCCTCGTACGTTCAACAGCCACAAAATGGGCCAAGAACTCAGTCATTGCCGTAGACGCAGGATCGCATCTTGCTTCCATTACCAACATATTAGCGAAAGACTTTCCGCTTGCCGCCGATCCTGACCCACCCCTACCAACCACTCGGAATAGGAATGGCGATAGGGCTGTTGGTCATAGCGAGTCCCCATCTCCTCGTGCTGCGCGAGTCACGCCTTCCGATGATGAATCTGATGTTGAGACACCAACGTCTGACAGGGAGATACCGGTAACCATTACTACGCTAGAGAAAGGCGCATTTGCCGGACTACCGTTTCCACATCAGAGTGCCAGGGCGAATGCGCTGCACATCATGAGAGAACATGTCTCGACATACCTCATTACACATCCCCACCTGGATCATCTCTCGGGATTTGTCATCAACACAGCAGCTTTCCACAACACATCACGGCCGAAACGGTTGGCGGCATTGCCTTTTACAGTCAATGCCATCAAGAACCATATCTTCAACAACATCATCTGGCCTAACCTCACGGACGAGGACGGAGGTGTTGGCCTGGTGACCTTCCAGCGACTTGCAGAAGGTGGAAACATTGCACTAGGTGAAGGGAGTTCGAGAGGCTACATTGAAGTTTGCGACGGTCTCGGTGTCAAAGGGTTCAAAGTGAGCCATGGGCACTGTATGCAAGGAACAGGCCACGTGCATCGCGGCTCGAATGCCCACCTCCTAGAGCCGTCAAACAGCCAGCAATCAGGCCAACAACTAGATTTGCATGACAGCCGGTCTTTGAGCTTTTCGGGCCCTTTCCAAACTGGACCTGGCACACCAGGCTTCAACACAAGTATGGAGATTGGCCGACGGCCCAGCAGCGTTACTGTCCCGCAACCACAAGTATCTCAAGACCAATGTGTCATTGATTCGACAGCATACTTTATCCGCGCAGAATCTACTCTGACAACGCCCAAGCGTGAGATTCTCATCTTCGGAGACGTAGAACCAGACTCTTTATCTCTCACGCCACGCACCGCTCAAATCTGGGCCGAGGCCGCGCCAAAAATCGCTACAGGCATCTTGAAGGGAATCTTCATAGAAGTCTCATATACCAACGCGCGAAGCGACGCCGTCCTCTTCGGACACTTGGCGCCGCGCCATCTACTAGCAGAGCTCAGCGTGCTCGCCGACCTAGTACGGGAGAAGAAAAAGGCACTGGAAAGAGAAAAAGAGCAGCAGCGCATGAAGAAGAAGAGAAAGCGAGCAGCCGGCACACTACAACTCGACAGCCTCGCAGCCTCGGACCAGCGCAAACCCAAAATGAGCTACATGGGCGTGGGCAAAGGCATCGATTCGCCCGTGTCAACAACAAACCCGCAGACCGACGACGAAGCCATTTCCGAGTTTGCCATGTCTCGCGGAGACACAGGCACGCATACGCCGGTTCTGGCGCCCGCACCTAGTGGGCCCAATAACAACAGCAACGGCGGTAGCACCAACAATCACGGTAACAATCACATGCCCAATAGTAACCATGCCACCGACGCCTCAGATGCACATTCCGCACGGCCTTCAGCCCCCGCAGCCATGAATCTCTCCGTCGTATCCGCAGAACACAACCGCGCCATGCTCGCGGCAGCGTTTGACTCGCCGCTCAAGGGCCTGCGCGTCGTCGTGATCCACGTCAAGGATACCTTTGCCGACGGGCCTTTGGTCGGCACCCAGATCCTGAGCCAGCTAAAGGAAGGCGAGAGTGCGCTGCAGGAGCAGGGCAAAGGCCTGGGTTGCCAGTTCGAGGTGAGCAGGTCCGGTGAGAGTTATTGGTTTTGAGCGTTGCTCGAGTATAGGTTGTATATATGTAGTTTGCGGATTTTGAAAGTTTGTCGATTGGGGGTTATAGCATGATGTGTGTATGGCGCGTATAATTTGACGGGCGGGGAAGAAAAGGAAAAAAACTCTAAATGCGAGTTTGGACTGGCATGGGCGTTGGTGGATAGACGGATGGCGGATGGCTTTTTTTTTCTATTTTTGGCTGTGGCTGTGGCTGTGGCTTCGGCTTCGATTTGTGGGGAAAACATGGGCTTTGGGAATCATGTGCATACGCCGGGTCACGAGGTTGGGAAGCTCGCTTGAAATCTGGGAATTTCTTGTTGACACTGGTTACTGCGCATAATGGCATGTAGGCTTAGATGGACAATATGCATTCTATCTGTATTGACTATCCGTGATTTGAGCAAGACTGTGCTGGTAGACATGCAGGCGGATATTCTCAACTACTGATAGGATGGATTGTGCATACGAGGAGAACGTTGCTCATAACAAGCTATGAAAACGTCAAGGCATGAAAGAATCAAACATAAGTCATATTCGGCATGGTGCGATCAGGTGCTTGGTTGGAAACCAGCCAAGGCATTCGCGTTGGGCACAAAGCTGCACAGCCACTCTGCCCAATGCAGTGCGGAGATTATGCGTCATTGCGATGACTGTATTTTGTTAGCAAATGACCTTGACTGAGATTTGGACCAACATACGCATAGTACTCCTTGTTGGTAGTATGTGTGGGGGTAAGGTCAGTTTCCACCTCCTTGACCACGACAACCTTCTTCGCTGCCGACTTCTTCCTTTCTCCATGCACAGCCGCAGCAACCCACAACAGCCACATGATTCCCGCAACAACGCCATAGGCAATCATGTGGCCACGGCTAGGAACGAAGCCGGTAAATGCGGGTGCGTCAGAAGCGAGCAGTAGGCCGAGGCCGCCATTGATCATTCCCAGCGTGATGATGATGCGGCCCAGCCAGAGATGGCCATGCGACCAGACAGTTCGTCGACTATACTTTTTGAACTTGAGGTGGTGGACGAAGCCGAGGATGGGTTGGAAGAAGAGTAGGGCGAACAGAACGATGCCAATGGTTGGGTGGTAGTTGTCTAATAGGTCTATGGGCATGCTGTTAATCATCCATATCCCGATGCCAAAGGCAGCGAGGTAGACGGCATAGGCGAAGAGTTGGAATAAGCCATGGATGAGCCATAGGCCGGGGAAAGAGCCGAGGCGGATGAGAATGGATCCTAGTGGGAAGAAGATGACGAATGCAAGGGCTGCCAAGACGCCGTGGGCTATGATGAGTCTGCGGCGGGATTCCATATCGCCGGCCGCGAAGTCAGCATTGGCACCTGGGCCATATTGCGAGGCGAAGTCGTCGTCGTTGTCATCTCCACCTCCAAACGGGCCTGGACCCCATGGACCTGGAGGACCATGGCCACGCTGGGCAGATACGGCAGTAATAGCTGTTGCTATCAAATCAGCATTGGGTCTGCAGACCGTTGTTACTTACACACCTAGGCTAAGCAGAAGCGTCCTGGTACTCAAAGTCATGATGGGCTGTGCTACGCCAAATGAGGGGCATGAACTTGACGGCGACGTTTTATGCAGCCGGTAGAAGGAAACATGGGCTACTTATTTGTTCGGCGCGTACAGCAGCTGATGGCGCAGCATTATCGGCGATATGTGCCATGTACGCCCAAAGAGTTGTGATACGCCCAAAGCAGACAGCAGTGACGGACCTGAAGGTGGAACAAGGTTCCGCTTACGCGTTTCTGCAGCGGGGTTGATTGTTTCGAGTGGTGGACTTGTTCGGCTAAGGCTGTGTTGGGATCGGGTTGGATATGGAGAGCCGTCGCCAAGTAGCAGGTCGGCGAAAGTGGCGCACCAAACGCCGACGCATACAAAAGAGCAACGACAGCCGCAGGCTAGGAGGTTGCTGGACGTCGACCTAACCTACACCTGCGATCGTCTAAACATAGAGATGTCGTTGTTTCACGCGTGACGAGCACGTGCCGGCCTAAGAACGTGCCTGCTGCCTTGTGGGCCGACGCGCCCCGTTGGACCGAAAAGGCTAGAGTTGGCCGCCGCTCAACATTGCGATGGTGCCGTAACAGGCAGCGGAACTTGGGCCTGGTAATACTTTTTTTTTCAGGCGCATGAGGAGCAATGGGTCAGGAGCGCAAGGCTGGCTGACGACTAGACAGATGCATGACGTAGGAGAGTCGACGATGGAGGCTCTATGCTGGAGCATGGTGACAAGAATCTTGGAAGCATTCCGGAGCTGAGCATGGGCAACGTGACAAGGCGGTCGACATCGTGATGTGGCATACCCACGCAGCGCGTCGCCCCGTCAGACCCGACCGCATGGCGGCCAGAGCGCGGATGTTGAGATTTTTCTACCGCCTTCTATCCGGGGAGCCGTGGCATGGGCCAGGCGGGCACATGGGGGAGAGTTGAGCACGACGGCTGTCAGGTGGTGATGGTGGTGACGGCCAGTCATACGGGCCACGGCGAAGGCGAGTGAAGGCGCGGGCAGGGCGAAACCGGTTTTGAGGCTGTGTCTCAGAGGGAGTCACAGGCGGGCTCCAAGGCAGCGCGGCGGCGGCGGCGGCGGCGCAGGCGGGCAGGCATGGGCGGGCGGGGTGCAGGCGTCGAGCGACGGCGGCGCGGGCGAAGAAGCAAAAAGGAGGTGAAGTGTCGCGGAAGAAGATGCGTTGTTTGGGCGGGCAGCGAGGCAAAAGGCAGCGTTTCTCTGAGTTGTGCATGCGCAGAAGCAGCCATGACTCTTGCAAGGCCCGATGTTCGGCTGCGGCAGCTGACCAATGACGCAGCGGCTCGGCGGTGACAGCGGGCCGCGATTCGCTGGCAGGGGCCATGTTCCTTCTCTCGCCCGTCACACCACGGCGCGGCTCTGAGTCACTCTGGGGCCGACCGCCATGGCTGGCCTGGTAGGGTACCTGCATGACGCCTCGAGCATCCTCCTCCATGTACATATATAAGCCTTGCACACCTCCGTCCTGCGAAGCCCTGCCTCTACCTGAGCCCATTAGCCGCCTGCGCGCGGCTTCTCGCCCCTCCCCTCCCTCTCCCCCATCTCCATCCCCATCTCCACTCACCCCTACATTTATCTATCTACATCTACATCTTCCACGACATCTTCTCCCCCACCCGCCAAACACCCTCGTCAACCAGACAGGCAACAAAGAAAGAGTCGAAATGGGCAAGCGTCACAACAGGAAACGAACCCGAAGCCGTCCCCGGAATCGCAATAACAACAACAACAACAACAACAACAACAACCTCAATAATCAACATGTCAACTCGCTGAATATTAATACAACAAGCCCAATTCCCCTCCACACCAGGAGCGAGTCCGTCAGCACTGCCTCTTCGACTCTCTCGCCAACCAGCTCCTGCTTCCAGCCACTGGGCTGCCCGCTGGCCAACGTGCCTGCGAACCACTGGCACCAGACGTACACGGCGTGGCAGACGCGCCTGCGCCTCCAGCGCGAGCAGGAGCAAGAGTTGGAGACGCAGCGACTGCGCATCTTTGGAGGGCTGCCCGAGGACGAGCGGTGCCTCATGGAGCCCATGCTCAAGGTGGTGACGGATCTCTTTGACGGCTTCTACGACTACGAGGACCCTTGAACACGGAGCCGGTGACCTGCAGCATGTCTTCTTCACTCGCTATGCACAGCACCCATCTCCACTTTTTCTTGTCGCAGGGGTCGAGCGGTGAGGCATCCTCTACGCAGTACACGTCTTGCGTCTAGACCGGATGCCTCGCCTTGCATTCCGATACTAGTCGGCCCACTCGCTCGCGTGGACCAAGCGCATTGGGCTGACCGACTCTTGCTTCGCACACCACGACACACCTCACCAACACCCCCCTGGACTAAGCATGACTCTGGCATCCCGGCGGAGGCGTGGGACACCATCTGGGCACGGACTCGCAGCAGATTAGACGACGACACTTGCCAGCGAATTCACCACAAGTGCCGCTCTAATTGGTTCACTATTGCTCAGCCCTAGGACTCCGTCGACTTGGACGCATGCGTAGCCGGCACCAAGGAACGAATCCCGCAAAGCAGCTTGATGCACGCCCGGGCACTTTGCATTTGCTTGAGTCTTGACGCTCGCAGATGCCTAGTCCTGGGCTAGAGCGTCGCTGCTTTTCGGGTCAAAGCATGTAGAGTAGGACGAAGGGAAAGAAAAAATAAATAAATAAACATGCGTATTGGTGGAAAGAGTTATCCGGCACAAATGGGGGCTGTGTCGCTGTGCCGTTTCCCCCTCCTATAATGAACCGACCTGGAGGGTGAAGGCAAAGGGCAAAGCATGTTGCATGAATGATTTAACGGCCTCTTTTATTTTCTTCTATAGTCTCTAATCCCTATACAAATATACCCATCTCGATCATGTTGTGCTCGTTGCTTTTTATCACCAATGATGCTATTACAACAGCTGCTGCTGCCCATTACTTTCCTGGCTTGCACTCACTCGTCTTCCCCCGCTTCTAAGCACTAGCACGTACTCGCCCACTACCACCTCCTCAGTCTCACACCTCCTCGTCGTTGTACCTATTCCTTTTTCCGCGATTAAATTCAAGACATATGCTTCGTGCATCGTAATATGTCCTAGCTTCACACAGCAAGCACGACTTGATCCACGACTCCTCACTAGACAGCATTATCCCTCTCTCTTCCCATCCAACCCCAGTCTCCGCTGCACAATCAGTCCCCGCACCCAACGACGTGAAACACGGTCGTCAGCGATCCAGATGCAGCATGCCGACCACTTGTATCGTGCATCGTGTATCGTGTATCGTGTATCGTGTATCGTCATCATTCCCCCCCCCCTGCTGCCGCCACGTCTAGCCACGACGACATGTGGCCCTGTGCTCGTGGGGTCCGAGCGCGCCCTCGTAGAACCACAGGCGCGCGGCCGTTGCGCCGAGAAAGAAGGCGTAGCTGCATATTGCCATGGCGAGGAATAGCAGCATGTATAGAGGAGTGAGGTTGGGTTCTTTTTGCATGGTTTCGGATCCCGTGTTTTGACCTGCTGTTTGTTTGTACGAGAGTGATGGAAGGAAGGTAGGTTTTTGTGTTGGGTGAGGTAGCGTGTACTTCGGCTGCTCATGAATGTCAGGTTGGAGTCATGAAGGACAGTTGTGTGTTGTATTGGAATGAATCAATGTTTGAATGATTGATGGGTACTCACGTGCCATATGGTGTCTCTTGAAGACTAACACAGCCAGCCTGTGAATCAATCGATTGTTTTTGTTTTCAATCCAACCGTGTGCAAGAAGAGCACAATACAAGGAGACTATTGGTACATGGCAACGAAAGTAGACAAGTAACTTGCATTACCACAAAAGAAAGAAACAAATAAAGTCAATTTAACCCCCAAAGCCACCCGACGCCAAGAGAATATATGTATACGGAGTTGAAATGGTATCATGAAAAAAAAAAGACTTAATGAAACAAGACTCCAAAGTTCCCACAAAGGCCAGAGACGGCGTCGCCCAGCAACACAGCCCTAAACTTAGCTGATAGCGGGTAAAGCATCAATCTTGGCGTACAGCTCTTGCGCATCCTCAAACACATACCATACATCCTTGGGCACACCCTTGAAGGCCTTTTCGAATCGTTCAGGTGCGTTCTTGGTGCTCTCGTCCATTTCCGCCACACCAGTGACTTTGCGAATGTAGATGGCGCCAACCCACTTGCCGCCAAACTTGCGGTAGGCTTCACCGTACGACTCTGGGTCTGTCTGCGTCGAGTCGCCAATGAGGATGAATCTGCGCTTAGGGAACCATCCGTTGAGCTTCTCGATGCGGTCGACTTTGTACGCCTCGGTTCCTTGCGTCAGGTTGGCAAGGAAGCCGGCAAGATTCATCCAGCTGGCATCGCGCAAAATCATGGTGCCGTTGGGGTAGTAGGTGTCGCGGAACTTGCGCAGGAAGGGATAGAGGTTGTATGGCGACGCCGACAGATACCAGAATGGTGGGTTGCCAAGCTTCTGCACGATATGCTTGTAAAGTTCAGGCATGCCTTTGATAGGCTCTGGCTCCTCGGCGAAGGTTGTTGTCAGGATACCGACAGGCGACGATGTGAGGGTCTTCTTGATGGTATCGTCAATGTCGGAGAGGACAGCCCAGCCCTTGGGCTTCGCAAAGGTAATGTTGAACGGAGTTGCACTGCCGCCGACGGCGCTCAATCGGGCGACCTGGCCGTCTTTGTAGTCGTTACCGGGTATGGAGAGCTCGTCCACGCTGATGCCATCGCGTCCGCTAGGACCCAGTCTGGCTGTTAGGCCAAGGAGATCAATGTCAACAGCGTGGGCCGGCAGAATTTGATCGGCAAACGGCTGCAGCCTCTCTGCAACTGTTTTTCTGGCCCCTTGATCGTCTGCAAGGCCAACCTTTTCGCTGACCCAAGCGACTATCTTGGAAAGGTCCTTGCCGCTGTTCTTGACAAAGTAGCAGGCGACGAACTCGGCCTTCCATCTCCCCAGGCGATTCTGGGAGGCGGTGCTGTCGAGGATCCAGACGTAATCGGTTTCAGGATTGACAGAGGAAAAGAAGGGGTTCTTGCGGCCAAGGTACGAGGAGAGGTTGTCCTTGAAGGAAAAACTGAAGCGGCTGGCGAGTGTAGGCATGTCTGCTTCGAAACCAGCAAAATCCGAGTGTTCTCTAGTGATGCGCTCCTGGTCAGTTTCTTCAGCGCGCATGCGGGCACGGCCAGCCATTGCAGCAGCGGATTCGGGCGCCATTTTGTAGGGGGTGAGGGTGGACAAAGAGGTTGATGGCTATGTTGGTGGGAGGGTCAGGAGGAGGGATGGTTCACGGGACGAGGGGGCAATGGCCATGGTTGAGGTCATATATTTTGTGCCTGGCACTTGACCTGGGATTGGGCGGGCGGCTGCCGACAAGTGTCTTGTAGACGAGCGAGTGGGCATGAAGAGTGACGTTAGGCCAAGCCGTGGCTGGCACATCAAGTGGGAATGATGTGCTGCCGAGGAAGCGGAGACCCCTGCGCCCTGCTACCGCGCCTTCTACAGAGAGGCAGCATGTCTCTGCGAAGTGGGTTTTTCGCATGGCAAAGGGTGGGAGAGTTGTCCGGCGGATGCACAAGGCAGTGCAGGTGTGGATGTGACTGTGCTTGTTCATCGAGAGGGCGGCGCATCCGAGTCCCAGGGCCGGGGAGTCTGATTGTGTCATGGAGCAAGCTAGGTGACGCAGCAAGAGTCAGGCTACTGGGTGCTGGATGTCGGAGTGCATCGGCGGTTGCTGGGCGTGTAGCAATCTAGCAGCGTTGGTGTGTATATCTAAGCCGGCGTTAGTAAACAGGGCCATAGTACATGGCCAGATGCTCTGCCGTCGACGGCAACTGGGCAGAGGGGAGAGATTCGTATGCTCTGGCACTGGCAGTCAGCACACGTGTTCCGTCCAGCGCTACACCTTGGGCGGTAGTGCCGTGCCGTGCCGAGCAGTGTTGATGGGCCCACTCGTCGCACTGTCGTGACGGCGGGCGTGTGTATCGTGGAGAGGTGCTTGGAGGCACACCCACGGGCGGCGAGCGTGTCACGGGCGGGGGCAGCGGGTCAGCTGGCCGTGTTCTGGCCATCTCAGCGCGGCGTATCGACCTGCTGGCCCTGGCAGGCCGCGTAGTGTGGCTCAGGCTGTGGCAGGTCAAGGGCCGGCTGCCACACGTTATACGCGGCCCGTTGACGTCGCCTGCCAACGGGTGTCTGCGCAGCCACGGCCGTCATGGGCTTGGCGGCTTAGAAGGCAGCGTCCGCTCCGCGCGGAGCCTGCGCGCGTGCTGGCCGCCTCGTCTCGTACACTGACTGCTCCGCCATATTTAGCTGCCCGAGACTCCTGCGCGTTGCATCCCCCGTCACCCTGCGACCTTCGCCAGCCCCCGCGCCCCGCCCGGCCCTACCCGCAACCATGGAGCTCAAGAAGCGCCTCAACCTGGGCAGCCTGATGCGCAAGCGATCGTGTTAGTTGCGCGTCGACACTGGCAGCCTCTCCATTGACACTGATAGCGCAACCAGCCCAGGACGTCCGGGTGGACCCCAACACGGATACGCCAGAAGCAAATGCGCTCCGGGGAGTGGTAGGCCTCGCCGCACCCCCCAATCTGTGCTGCCCCAGCTGACAGCCCGCAGTCTCTCTTCTGCGAGTCGGGCGCCGTCAACTCGGTATGTCCAGTCTACGACACACGGCCCCGCGCCCCTCACTGACCACACTGCAATCACCAGGGCGAGGAAGTGCTCCACCTCCCGACCATTGTCGAGGCCGCCGTTGCAAGCCCCGTGGCTGCATCAGCCGCCGCCCGGCAGATCCGCATCTATCTCTCCAAGGAGAACTACAACCGCCCGCATGTGCAGTACAATGCCATCATGCTCATCCGCATCCTGGCCGACAACCCGGGCCCGTCCTTTACCAAGAACCTCGACAAGCAGTTTGCCGACACGCTGAAGAACCTGCTGCGCCATGGCCAGGACCCGAGCGTGTCACAAATCACAAAGGAGACGCTGGATGCCATGGAGCGCGACAAGGCCTACGACACCAATCTCAACCTAGTCTTCGCCATGTACAGGAAGGAAAAGGGCCTCATGGCCAATGCCGCCAAGCAGTTTGGTCCGCGAACCCTGAATGCGCCGGGGTGGTCGCGCTCGCAGAACGTTGAAGGCGGCTTCAGTTCGGGCAGCGGCCGATCCAGCTCGAGAACTCTACCGCCACCCACAGAATTGGCTGGGCGCATCGAGGAGGCACGTACATCGGCCAAACTTCTCCTCCAGCTCGTACAGTCGACCCCGGCCAACGAGCTGCTGAGCAACGAGCTGGTCAAGGAGTTTGCAGAACGCTGCACTGTCGCTCAGCGTAGCGTGCAAGGCTACATTGCTTGCGACAACCCAGCTCCGGACGATGATACAATGCTCACGCTCATTGAAACCAACGAACAGCTCTCTCTCGCAGCCTCGAAACACCAGCGCGCCATGCTCCAGTCCCGCCGTCTCATCGGTGCATCGCCCTCACCGCCAGTCTCAAACAGCAATGTTCCAGCCGGCGTACCTCCCCAGCCATATGCGAACTCGCAGAACGATGCGCCGACGTTACCTCCTGTGAATGTTGCAGCGGACCAGCCCGCTCCGCCACCCGACTCGCACTCTGACAATTATGCAACCCACGAGTCTTCACTTGCATCGTCTTTACCAGCGGTACCGAGCAGGCCGCCGCCGACTGCCCCTGAGCCGAACCCATTTGCTGACCACTACACATCTACATACACGCCCCCGAACGGCTCTTACCCAAATCCAAGGACAACAGACGACTACGGTGGCTCGCCCGACTCGTATCATCCTGGCTACCAGTCAACTCCCTCGTACCTAGGCCGGCAAGAGAGCTCTGCGAACAACCTCACAATGCATGGAGCGCAACCGCCGATTGCTGAAGAGCAACCGCCGCCCATGCCACCACGTCCACGAACTCCAGAGGCCAACGTGCCGCCGTCGCAGGCTCATGACGTGTCGCCGATTGCAGAGCGTAACACAATCACGTACAGATATTAGTGTTGCTGCCATGGATAGATCATGGGTTGGTTAGCGGCCCAAATACGGCCGTGGTGATGTGGGGTAGTATGGCGCCGGAGGGTTTGTACGGCAAAGCTGACAGAGGCCCTCCACGCTGCTTTGAAATCACCAGGCGTACATGGTTTGCCTTGTTGGGCAGGTTCTGTGGGCAGCCTGCTCGGCACCGGACGGTTCGGAGCGCTCGTTTTTTTTTTCTTTGAGAAGGGATAAGATACCATAGTTGATTTTAGCTTGGGGTTGGTTTTTCTGGAGTGTGCAGTGAATACATACATGGTTGCTTTGTCCTGTCGCGGCCTGTCCTGGCTGCACTGCCCCGCATCCCACATGCCTGCAGGCGCGTGGCCCAGTGACCTCATGCCCACACCCCACGGAGGCCCTTGAATCTCGTGTACCTCACGCGTTCCTACGCTGCAGCAATCGCCCAATCCGCACCGCTTCCCAGTCGCCCAACGTCCGGCACTCGTCCATCAACCAGCCCTAGCCCTGTCAGCTCAACCGGCAGGGGAGCCTCGCATACCACCCCTCCAATGTGGAAGGCAAAACCCGACGCCTACCCCCACTGCGGCGGAACCAGAACCGCGTCTAGCGCCGAAAGATTTAAAACGAGCCGTCATGTTGAAGACATGCACTACCGACCTGCCCGGCCGCCCGTCCCCGTCGACCTTTAACCCGTCCCTCTCTCGCTTCCTCATGGCACACTGCTGCAACGGTCCATGGCTCGTTCGTTTCCGAAATGCGTCGACACGGTGATCATTGGTATTGCGCCCGAGTGAGTCGCATGCGAGAGCAACCCGCTGATGACAAATGCAGGCAATGGCCCATCTGCCCTCATCCTCTCCTACATCTTGCATGGGCACATTCCCTATTACATCGGCGGCCATCATGACGCGATCCTCGACGCCAAACTCCAAAAGACTCCCAATCTCCTCCACCTGACGCCTGACCTCTACGCGCATTTCCTGTCCTCGCTCCGCTACTCGACCCAGGCGCTGCCCGTCAACACGCTGCTCGACACCCTCATCCGGCCAAACGCCGACACCGAACTGAACCCCAAATCCTGTATCGAATGGCGGCACGAGCCGGACAAGGCTATTCCGCATCTCGCCATCGGAGAGGCAGCACATGCAGGTGGACAATGGGCCGAAGAATCTCCCTCTGCGAGCGCTGACATAGGCACTTTGAGCTACGCTGAACAACTGAGCCTCCCAGGCTATTCGTATGCGGACCATCTTGCGCGCATCGGGAAACAGGACGAGACGGAGTTTGTACGCCCGTCCAGGACCGAGGTTGCAGACTATCTTAGCGCGTATCCAGATGCCGTAGGCATAGCCGGCAGTGTACTTGCGGGCCTCAAGGCGGAGCGCGTGTATCGCACAATCAAAGGCTTCTCCATTGGTAGCCTCGGGATACGATGTAAGCATCTTGTCTTGGCATCGGGCATTTTCACAGTCAACATCCCGCCCCCACCTCTACTCGCACCTATATCGCAATTCGATTCGCCAGAGGCTCCGCTGCTTGTCATTGGGTCTGGCTTCTCTGCAGCCGACGTCATAATTTCTGTCCCACCAAACCGCAAAATCATACACATATACCAATGGGATCCTGAGAAACGACCCTCTCCACTTCGAGGATGCCATCATACCGCTTACCCAGAGTACGCCACTGTGTATCGGCAGATGAAGCTTGCAGCGATTGCATCTTCGAAAAAAGGCAAGACTGGAAAGCCGGCGTACGGAAGGAGAAAAGCTGGCGCCTTTCAGCAGCGAGACTGGTCTCTATACGAAGGTCTCCCAGGCGCGGACGTGATCAATGCATACAAGTCCGGAAATGCAGTCATGGTAGAGCTGCAGCTGCCTTCGGGCGACACAGTGACGCGTGAAGTCGGCGGGCTGGCCTACATGGTAGGAAGACGCGGCACGTTGAATTTCTTGTCCCCTGAGCTGCGGTCGGAGGTGCTGAGTGCACCTGACAATGCAACCGTCGATTTGTCTTCGCTCATCTCAGGTCGCACACTTCGATCAAAAGCTGAAACCACATCCCTTGAAGTTGCGAGAGACGTTTTCATTACCGGGAGCCTCACGGGCGACTCTCTGATTAGGCACGCCGTCGGCGGCTGTGTCTTTGCAGCTGGCCGCATTCTCAGGGCCATACCCACCAGTTACCCTACTGACAATACACACCCATCAACTTCGTCCACCTCCAGATCGGCCTCACCAGTTTCCACTTCAGATGCCGAAGCCGCCATGTCGGAAACCAATTCCAGTCCACAAAGGCCGCGGACTGGACAGCGGACACCGTGCGAGCTGACAAATGGACACACCGATCTGCATCTTGACCGACGGACGCTCGCTCGTGTGGTAGAGAAAGCGCATGCAGAGAACAGGTTTTGGGTTGATTCAGGGTGGTGGGCTGGCGGACTGGGGCCTGGAAAGTCATGAAAAGTAAATGGCTCCACTGCCATGGGCGGTGTTGTTCGTAATAGATACCCAGAAGTATGGTTGAGCGAGCATCATTTACACGCGTGAGTAGAAGCTTGGCGACTATTGTCACTTCAAAAGAGTATACTGTCCCTCGGTTAGAGTTTTGCTATATTCGGAAATAGATCTTTACTGAAGTCACGAGTCCGCACTGCCTACAATACCGGGAAAGTGTATGCCGCGCCAGTCGTATGCATTGGCCACCTTTTAGCGCGAGTATATCCCTCGCATCTTTTCATCACGAATCATAACCTTTCGATCCTACAGTCCCCTTCAAGTCAGAGTACCAATAATGCTTGCAGCAGCTAGACAGGATGGATAGAGCCAAGACGCGCAAGTCTCACAAAAAGTCTCGAAATGGCTGCTTGCCTTGCAAAGGTCGCCATGTAAAGGTGCGTCCTACTTGACTAGGCAAGGACGTGTTGCATTAGGCTGACAATTTTCGAGTGTGATGAGCAGAAGCCGAATTGCACAAATTGCGTCAAGCAAGGCACTGCGTACGAGTATCGCCCTCCGGCAAGTAGCGAGGCTTCGCATACATCGCCTTTGCCTGGGCAACAGTTACTACCAAGGCTTGGAGCTGCTGCGAACACAGCTTCAGCTGGAACTGGTCTGGCATTAAATATACCGCAACTGCGCTTGCTCCAGTACGTCTGTTAGCTAACCAAAGATCCCGAGCTAACCAATAATATAGCCACTACATGACTGCCACTGCCAAAACTCTTGCAGCCCATACTGATGCCGAAGATGTGTTCAAAACTACCTTGGTAGAGATTGCATTCGAACACCCCTATCTTCTTCAAGCCACGCTTTCCCTCAGTGCACTGCACATGAGCCGGCTTGTGCGCCCAGAAGAAGCCCAGGAGTACTTGATCCAAGCCCAAGAGTACCGCGAAGCAGCTCTCGATGACTTCCACAACACAGTGCGTAACATCGATGAGTCCAACTTCAAAGCAGTAATGCTTTTTACTGGCACCTTGTTTCCACATGCATGTATTACTTCGATCGCTGCTAGCAATGACCTGGATTACGCTTTTGAGAGCGTCATCTCGAATCTCGTCGTGACCCGGGGGGTTCGGCCGATGATAATGGGCTTTTACGCGCAGATGAAAGTCTGTGAGTTGAGCCGCGTGATTCCAGACGATGTCAAAAACATTGAGTTTCATCAAAAAGAGCCACGGCCCGATACAGAGCTTATTCAGCTCCACAAATTCGCAGACGTCATCCATCACCTATACCCCCCCCGATATCGTCGACGCGTACAAACATGCCTGCCATCTTCTTGAGGTGATCTTCCAAGTTGCAGCAGAGTCGTCCAAGTCGCCTTCGGATGCGCTGTTAAAGACATGGATACACCTCGTATCCGAGCGCTACATTGAGCTCCTTTCACAGAAACAGCCAGGAGCGCTCATCATATTTGCCCATTTCGCTGTCTTGGTAAACAGAGCGTCAAAACACTACTGGTACATTGAAGGGCTTGCAGAGCAAATTATCCGCGTTGCAGAACACATGGTTCCTAGCGAGTGGGGGTCTTGGTTACAATGGCCCAGAGAGCAGATATTGGGCATTCCTGGTCATCCAATGCCATCTCCGGGTTACACGACTTGAGGATGTCTGAAGTTGAATTTTCATAATGGTCAAGTGCTGAGAGCTGGGGAAACTTCCATGCCACTTCGCGGGAAGCGCCGCGCGCCCGCGAAACAGACTACTCCACCACAGGAACTGCTGCCTAGCCTGGAGGCATCGGTGACGTACTGTTGTGGCTGGTATGCATTTGGCTGTGCCAAGAAGGAATGGGAACTTGTCCATGCGACAGTTCTTATCAAGGCCAACCTGTATTTGGTAGTGCTTGTAAGAGGCGGTGTCGTTGATGCATTAAACGGTACACCGCGCCGTTGAACTTATTTGCGTTAGCGAAAGGGGTTACGCGGCCAAACAATCGTTGCACCAATTAACTAGCTAGCCTGGCTTCTAGTGGGCGGCCTCAGCAAGTTACGTTGGGAAAGATCTGAGAATTCATGGCAGTGTTGGGTTATGGCTAGACCTACTGCGGAACGCTACGATTGGGAGGATAAGACGTTCAGCTGCGCGGTATACTGGAGATGAGTGAATACAAACTAAGTACAGGATAACTCACCGGTTGACTGACAAGGATAAGTCTTTCCTCTACTATATGCTTCGACCAATATGCACGTTGCGTCCTGTTGTTTCGCAGTAGGTTAAGCAGGGTATACGGGCATCATAAATCTATATATCGAGATAATATTACAAAACTCACATCCAAACCTTAGCTAATGGGATGCAAAAGAAATTATCAGCCATTACTTACGTACGTATGTGACAGAAGAGAACAGCAAGGCTGTGAGGGAACCCATACCACTAGAACAAAGCCCAGCAGCCCATGCGATTAGCCCATCGTATTCGAATACGCCAACCGTATGCACTGACCTCTCTCTCTCTTTTATTCCTACCCACCAAGGTCTGTAGCCTCAACATAGTCCGAGAAGCAGATGTAGGAAATACGCGTACAGAGTCTGGCTCATGGGGGTCCTGAGACGTGTATGTGTGTGGCTGTGTATTTCCCAGAACTGGATATAAACGAGTGTTAAATGCCTACGGACATTATAAAGCCAGGCACACTACTTGCTTGCTTGCTTCTGGGAATCAAGCTACTACACTGCCCTCGTCTTGGCTTCTTGTTTTCACCTTGACCAGATTGGCGATATCTTTCTATTTTTTCCCCCTTTACCTTGAGATATACTGACTTGCTATACATCCCCAGTTACCCACAGAGTCTCCCAACAGCAGACTCTATATTTCTGCCCAGCCCAACATGTCGCCAACAGCCCGTGCAGAAGATGCCTCAACAGCAGTTCCAAAGTACATTCTCTGGCCATACACACCGAGTATCGTCGCAGGCGCCATTGCCACCGCTGTCATGCTCACCTTGTTTCTAATCCACACGGCCCGTCTGTTCAGGAGCAAAACGTGGTTCTGCATCCCGTTTGTGCTCGGTGCGCTGGTACGTTTTGAATCGCCCCCCTATAAGCCTTGCCAGATGCAGCTACAGTCTTCGTCAGAAAGAAAGAAAGAAAGAAAAAGAGAGAGAGAGAGAGAGAGAGAGAGAGAGAGAGAAAGATTAAATATATTAACAAGATCAATCCAACAGTTCGAAACCACAGGCTACGCCGCACGCATAGCAGCGCATCACAACACAACCTCGCTTGCACCGTATATTCTCCAATCGACGCTCATCCTGCTTGCGCCCATCCTCTTCGCAGCCTCCATCTACATGGTTCTCGGGCGCCTGATTCAGCGCACGGATTCAGCTGGGTATGCGCTGGTGCGAGTGACGTGGTTGACGAAGTTGTTTGTCGGGGGCGATGTCGTGTGTTTGTACGGTCTCCCCAGAACCCTCCTTCCTTTTCCGTTCTTATACATGGACATGTAGGTACATGCATGTAGCTTGCTAACACGCACAGCCTCATCCAAGGTGGCGGCGCAGGCCTGCTTGCCGGCGCCACCACCGCATCTGGGTTCCAACGCGGCGAGACGCTGATTCTGGGGGGCCTTGTACTGCAGATTATTGTCTTTGGCTTCTTCGTCGCCGTCGCGGCCACGTGGCACTGCAGGTTGCGTGCGAGGCCTACACTGCGCTCGGGCGAAGTGCCCTGGGAGGTCATGATGGGGCTGCTGTATATGGCGAGTGTGTGTGTAATATTGAGAAAGAAATTCTTGTGTAGTTTAGGTACACGAGTTGAGCAGTATGGCTTTGAAATGTTGCTGTTGGTTACAAGTGTTGTATTGCTGTGCTTGGTGGACTTGATGGCCTGAGTCGAATACAAGCAAAAAGTAAAAATCGACAAGTAAGGGTAGAAAATGAACCCACAGACGCCCTTATTTTGAAGGACATGGCTATAGACACGATAAACAAAACTCTTTGTGTCGAGGTTCTTCACTTCACGTCCATACCCAAGATACTCCTCGACAAAATCCCAATACCAACGATTCCTCAAACTCCCATCGTCCCTTGCTCTTCTCTTTCCCCTACTTATCCCCTTGGCGAAACCTCAACAAGAAATTTTTTGTATCCACTACTAGCGCCGCACAAACTCAAACTCTGCTTTACGAATAGGCTTGATATCCGGATTGTACCACGCGAGGCACACGACAAGCGTAATCGCCATGAGCAGGGAATCGTAGATGTACAGCGGCCATTCGTGCGTGTGAAGATAACCGTCCTATAGGAGGATTCCCACAAAGTCAGCCTAGCAACGTAAGAAAACCTCCCCCCCCCCCAAAAAAAGGGGGGAGAGAAAGAGACAGAAAGAAAGGGAGAAAATACTCACCTGACCCAATCCATACTCCACAACCCTCAGCAAATTCCTCACTGTAAAATCCAGCCAATCAATAAACCTTGAATTCCACCAACCTCACCTTGGACCCCGTCTTCGGTGTAAAAACAACCCTCACCTTATCCGTCTGCACACCCGTCCACTCAGCATCCGTAATTCCATTCGCCAAAACACTCGCCAGCTTCGCTCCCTGGACATTCGCCCACACGCCTCCCTCACCCGGAACCTCGATGCGGTATTTGGACGGCGCAGCAAAGCCCTGGGTTTCGTTTTCGAAAAACGCCAGCTCGGCACTGCTCGTGGCAACGGGCTGGCCAAAGTCGATTTCAAACCACACGTCGGTGCCGTCGGTGCTGACGGGCGTGTCCCACCCGTTTGCGGCATCGGGCTCCGTGTAGAACCAGATGCGGCCGTCGATAGCAGGGTACGTCAGGTCCGTGGTGGAATTAGCGACCGAGGTGGTGCCCCGGGGATACGCAGTGGTGCTGTTGAGCTGGATCGACTTTGCAATGCGGGTTGTCATTAGAGCCGGGGCACGCGCGCGGTTGAGTGGGAGGGTGATTTTGCCGCGTGAGGGCTGGGATGCAGTGACTTTGCCGTCAATTTCGACTTGGAGGCCCGCTTTGCCATAGTGCGAGCCGTCGGCGTCCCATTGCACGGCGATTTCGTGACCGTGGTAGATGATGCGCTCAGCGCGGAAATACGATATCGATGTGTCGACGAGCGGGTTCACAATGAGCTCGTCCGAGGCAGAAGGGCGGATGCCAACGAGGCCGCTGAGAACGAGGTCGTTGAAGCCTGAATGAAAGTAGTGGTGTGAGCGCTTGAGTCCGACGATTGGGAGACCCGTGTCTGGGTGGTAGTCCTCTTCTAGGTCGAGGATTCCCGTGGATGGGTTGCGGTGGAGCTGGGCGTATTTTCTTAGCATGCTAGTGTAGTCTTCTGAGTTGATGACGCCAGTTTTTGCACCAATGCTGTAGTGATCAAGAAAGTTTGCCAGGCCAGTGAGCACTTGAGTGTACTGGTACGGCCAGGTAGGGCCGTTCCATTGGCACTCTGGATGTGTGCCTTCGTAGCGGTATTGTCTCATAAAATACTCGTAGCTGGGTTCGACAGTACGGAGACCAGCCGGACCAGATAGCTGGCTGCTGTTGAGTACATGAGTCCAGGCTTGCGCGTATTCGGTCGTGTCATCCGGAAGGTCGTGGGTCCAAGGGACCATGCCGGCCAATTCACGTCCACGGATAAAGTCCCAGTATTTGACGTACTGGTTGTTGACGTAGAAGCGGTCAATAAAGTGCTCAAACGTAGAGTTCCAGAGATCATTCTGTACGCGCTGTTTGATCGCGTCCGCCCTGTTGTTATAATCTGAAGCAGTGGCGTCCATGCCGCCCTTCAGCGTTGCCATGCTGGCGATTGCGCGGGCGTTTGCATACTGGTAGCTGTTGATGGTTGGCCGGAACGAATTGCCACCGCCGAAGCCATCGCGGCCACCAGAGGCATCGATACTGGAGATTGTATACTCTGTGGCATCGCGGAGGGGCTCGACCCAGTAGAGACCCTTTGAAGCGTCGTAGGCGTCGTTCCACGCGTCATACACGCTTTGCATAGAACCCAGTCTCTTGACGACATCTTCGACCGAGCCGTCAACCAGATATCCCTGCCAAACAGCGGCAGCCATGCTCTCGGAGAACTGGCGGGTGTTGCTGTCTTTGCTGTACATGAAAGTTGCATAGTCCTCCTTGAACCTCCGGTCGCGACACCATCTGCCCTCCTGGATATGGAAAGCTGTGGCATCATTGAGCGAGGCCCAAGGCTTAGTCTGCCAGCCAACATCGTTGAGAAACTCGGTTGAGATGAAGCCGTAGGCGCCTAAGTCGCGTTGGTGGGCGCGGAAAATGGACCAGCGGTAGTAATATGTATCCGTGATGACTGCGTCGCTTGATTCAAAAAGGGGGATGCGGTCGCGATACCATGGTGCGTCGTTGCCATAGTACTTGGAGGTTATGGCGTCTACGTCAAGCGCAAATGCGTGACGAAAAATGAAGCTCAACGCTAGTGAAGTGCCAATTTTCATCTTGCTGGCAGCCAAGTGTTGGACTGCAACGTGCAGAGTTCGCCATCCTTTTACATGACCCGTCGCATAGCGATTTACCCGAGAGTAATCGCATCCTGGTTTACTTGCTGCACATGATTACTCGTCGAGTTTTCTCTTTGTCTTGAACAGGTAGGTTACTTCGTATTCGCTTTATAGTCCTGTCTTACGCTATACCAGTTCTAGCAACGAAGATGCTACTTGTCACTTTATTCCTAGATGAGGGACATACCAAATACTATTAAAAGAGCGTGTCAAGTTCCCTTCTGGCTATAAAAACTCTAAACAACTCAACGTCGTGTCTTACTGTAAATTCGTAGAGCGGGAATAAACGATGCAGGGCCTGGCATCACTGTTCGAGTGAGGGGGGTGCCCCTCTTCTTCCCCGCAGGCTTGATGATCTGCATGGACATATTTTCTCCGTTGGGGGTGGAGTAGATCCTGCTTGGGCCCGTGCACGTGGTGATGCAATGTTAAGCCATGCCGCGGCTTTAAGGGGAGAGGGGAATGTTGTAACACTTGCCGGAGACAATGCATATATCGAATCATCATGTGGCAGACGTCTCGGGGCAACTTCATAGCGAGCGGGCGTTGATCAGCCGTGTCCTATAGCACGGGGATTCAGAATCCTGTTTTAGAAGCCTAGCCAGCCAATGTGCATGTCATTGCAACTCATGACGTAGAATGGCTCTATCAGGCATATACTAGCAGTACATGACAACCGATTGGTGGAAAATGCCATGTCTCGCATTAAGATTATCTCGCTCATTAGTACAATACATTATAGAACTCAAACCAGCTGAGATTTCAGATTCAAGCCATTTCTCGTTTGCATCGCATCATTATGTCTCAATTTTGTTTCCATCTGGTACGCGGTATCAGCCTTACTAATGGGCATGATGACCACGAATGGCAGGATTGCCATCAGTACTACCAGCACCGGCGCCAAACTGCTCAGCGTTCATGCGGAGGCCAGTGTGCGGCTCAATCACGGTAGGGTCGTGGTCGAGATCGGTAGTAGGATGGGCGCCATGTACACCGTGACGAGTTTCCCTAGGCCTTGATTAGAATTGAATCAAACATTGATGAAAAAGTTGAACAAGAGCTTACCGGTCACCGCTGATGGCATTGGCATCACCAATTGGTCCATCGAAACCCATGTGCTGCCGCTTTCCCACGGCATATGGTTCGCTTTCATGGGGTTGTTGCATTGCCTCACGCGCAGGGTGGCCTTTTGGTGGGTCCTTGTGCAAGCGGTGTTTGCCTTTCCAGCGTGGTGACTCTGCATCATCGCTGTAGTCCTTGGAGTGCCTTGGACTATAGTCTTTTGACTGGCGAGGTGAATGCTCAGGACTGGCAGAGGACCTTTCCTTCTTGGACTTGTCACGGTGCAAGAAGCCCAACAGTCTATGCTTCTTCTTCTCTTCCGTCTCTTCTTTGTCTGAATCCTTGTCATGATGATGCTGTTCCTTCTCACGCTCATGTCCATTTCGATTGTTCATGTGCGTCGCACCACCAAGTCCTGCCGCTCCAACAGCGCCGCCTAGAACAGGAGCGGCGAGCGTGTCATGTTTGTCTCCTACCGGGTCTTGGGCAGCTCCATCAGTCTGAGCGCTATGGTCCTCAGCATGCGTATTGTGTGGGGCGATGGTACCCTGGATGGGAGAGGGAGAATGAGTAGAAGTATCTTGCAAAGGATACGCAGGCTGCAAGACTGGACCTCCCTGGGGGTGTGCAGCATAATCTTCCTTTTGTTGAAGTGGCCAGTTTTGGCTATCATGAGCATGCGGCTCGCGAGCGTAAGCTCCAGCACCCAAGGCGGCACCAGCTAAGCCAGCACCCATGAAGGCGTTCCTGTTGACGTGATCATTTGGGTCTGTTCGGTTCATATTGCCAAGTGTGTTATGGTTGTTGTAATCGTACTGGCTCTTAGGGGCAATTGGGTTAGGGGCATGCGCACTAGAGGCAGCAGGGTCGTATCTTTGTTCTGGCATTGAAGCACCAAGTCGTGTCATCCTGTGATTGCCATACGCATCGACAGCATCCTGGGCGCCATAACCAGCAGGGGCAACATTGGTTGGAGCAGTCTGGCTGGGAGAGTCATGTGAGACCGGAGGTCTAGACATGGCTGAGTCAATGTCATGGTCAGCCTTGGCTTCAGGGTCGAACCGTTGCTCTTCCAGCTTAGGTGTGGCACCTAGGACGCGAGGGTCAAGCGTTTTGCTGCTGTAAGGACTAGCGTCTTCATACAAGAACTGGTCACCTTGGACATCTTGGATGCCGCGATTCTCTGAAGCTGCATGGATACCTAGGCCTGCAGCCCCAGCAGCGAGGCCACCGGCAATTGCAGCGTCACGAGCAGTATTGCTGCTGTCAGCCGACCTTGGCCTTGGCTCTTGGAGGGTTCCGGTGTGCCTCAACTCGTGGCTTACAGTAACAGGAGCGGGGTCCATCGAAGGCGCACTCGAAGCCGGTGGTTCGGTAGAAAGAGGGCTTTGAACAGGCGCATCCCCGCCTTCACGACTGCCTGCTGGCTCCATGGCCGATTGGTCAATCATGAACATTGCCGACTCATCGCTCGGTGTTGCGATGTATTCACCGGGAATATGCCTGTGGCGTGACTCGAGGCGAGGATTCATTGGCCGTTCACAGCTGGCAGTTGGTTCAGTTGTGGGGAGGAGAGTTTCAATGTCGTCCGCCTCGACTTCTTGTTCTTGGCTATATGTTGGGACTGCGGAAGAACCGGAAGCGACAGCCGCGGCTGCAGCGAATGCTCCAGAATCATGGTCAGATGACGGGTGACTCGAAATATCCGTCGCCGTGTTGGTCTGCGCGGATGTTAGGTCTGCTCACGCCAAGGGCACTAAACAGGGTGACTTGATGAAGGAGTAATATACGTACAGTAGAGTCCTGGACAGTGTTCGGCGGAACATGACCGTATGTAGCTTGACGTGTTTCAAGGCCGACTTCTTGGACATGCCTTTCCTCGGAGCGTGGGATGGCGTGCGAAGCTCCCATGGCAGTCGCGGCGGCGGCTGCACCAGCAAGGCCTTGTCGGCCATGGTTTTCATGAGCAGGGGCTTCATGCGGGGTTGAGATGACACCACCGGCGAGCGGAAACGATCGATCGGTGTCGGTAATGTAGCTCTCCTTGCGCAGAGTGTTTTCATATGGCTGTGGCTCGGTTGCGACTGGCTCATGGTTAATTGCAGTGTCTAAGGCTTTTGGTCAGGACTTGGTGCAGAACTTGTGCATTGAAAGACAATAGACCATCTACGTACGGGCTGTCTGAGCGTCTGGAACTGGGTGCATGTCTCTGTCTTGAGACATTCCGGCCGTCCCCGGGCTCCCGCCTCCAACTACTTGGCCCTGGGTCATAGTGGTGTTGGTAGGGTTATGCATTGACATGGCGGCATGTCCCTGTTCTGTTGGACCAAAACCAATCACTCCGCTCTTAATACTAGCAACACTGGGTTCTTGCTTATGGCCATGGATATGGGCATCGGGGCGCTGTGTTCCTGCAGCAGGCCCGCCGGCGGTTGGTGGTGGTGGTTTGGTAGCAGTTGCAACAGGGCCATCTGTGGCCATGTGCTCTGGTTGTGCGTGGGGTTCCTGGCCATGAGGACCGACTGAACGGTTTGGCTGTGCTAGCTCGGTGTAGGGAGCACCACTGGTGGTTTTGACGCTGTATACCGGCTGGCCAAGAGGAGCGCCGGTGCCTTTGCTGCTGCTAGCCATTTGATCATAGATGGGATGATGTGAGCTAGGCTAATGTTAGCGGCAGTGCGTCAGGTGGTAGGGTGGGAGTGCAGACCTGTCAGTGGCGGGCTCGGGGGCGACATGGTGATCCTTCTTGTGTCCGTGACTGGGGTGCGGTTAGCTGTTGGCTGCGCAGTGTGGGCGTGTCGACGCACAGGACGTGTTTGATCTTTTCCATGCTGACGGGCGTGTGTGTGTGTGTGTGTGTGTGTGTGGAGGATTGCAGGGTCAGGCCAAGCGACGAGGTGGGATTACCAGAAACGGCGTATTAGTAGTGGAGGCGGGCAAAATCAGGGCACAGCAGGGCACAGCAGGGCACAGCAGGGCACAGCAGGGCACAGCTGGTGAGCTCACGATATGATGGCATCTGGTGTCGCAGGGCAGGCTGGGCGGGCGATGAGGTCATGGTGCTGGGATAGCTGCAGGGACTAGGCGGGAGCGGGCCAATCAGCGGGGCGGAGGCAGCGCCACGACGACGACATGGTTACGCTCTGTGCGACGGTGCAGCCTCCGAGGAGCTTTGGCTGCATGGATGGATGTACACATGGAGGCGTATTGGGCAGTGTGCGAGAGACGGGCGCTGGCACGGGCAGCTGGGCAGCATGCGGGGCAGCGTCATGCTGGGGGGCGCGGAGCCTGCAGTGTGTCCAGCGTGTCCCAGCCGTCGGTGTCCAGTCGTTTCATCAGTGCAGCGCGGTCCGATGCAGTCAGTCCGGTGTCCACGACGACACCAGCTTGACCGGCGCAACGTGGACTGAAACAAGACGACATGTCCACGTACGGGCACGCAGTCGGGAACAGGCCGACTGGATGGTGGGCAGGTGTCGGGGGGCGGTCAAGAGGGGGTGCGTCAAGGCGGGTATACGTGTGTGTGTGTGTGTGTGTGTGTAGGTAGTATATGTAGAGACTTTTTGACTTTGCATGGCGCAGCCTGACCTCACCGATGACGATCTTCAGGCAACATGTACCCCCACACGGTCGACGGGCGCCAGATGGTGACAGGCGTTTGGCGGGCCTGGATTGGGAAGCACTGGGCGAGGTCTGGTCTGGAGCGTGGGCTGAGGCGGGGCAGGGCAGGGCAGGGCGGTCCAAAGGGGGCGCGGGTGCGGCACAAGGCTCACTGCCACTGCCACTGCCCAGCGCATGTGCTGTGGAGTGGGAGTGGAGTGGAGTAGAGCAAGAGTGTGGTGTAGTAGGTGTGTGTGTGTGTGTGCATGGCATGGATGGCGTCGAATGCAAGCGTCCCAACACTCGCACACGCGCACTCAACCACGACTCTGCAACGGCACTGCGCGAATTACTGCGCGGGCGGTGGCGAACCACGGAGGCGACGCCAACGGCAGTTCACCCCGTCGGCGGCCTAGCGCTCACGCGGGAGCAGTCTGGCCCACGCCGTGCTGCCCGCTGCCAGCTGGCGCAATCCACGCCCGCGCCCTCGGCCGGCCAGCGCCCAGCGCCCAGCCGTGCAGTTGCAGCCGTCCAGTCGCCGTGCGCGTTTGGCGCCTGCTGCCATTCTAGAAAACTTCCATGGCCCAGCACACAAGCTTTTGCGCCCCCTCCGCGTTATCTTCTAGCCTCGCCCTGCCGCCCACCCGCCGGCGCTGTCATCCACGTACATGGACATGGACATGCATCCCATCCGCCCTCACGCCCGCCATACATAACTACTTGGTTACGCGCGCACCCCCCCCTCGCCCCCCTCGAATCCCTCGCATCCCTCGCTCCGTTCCCCCAGCCTGCCTGCGTCTGCGTCTGCGTGTGCGCCTGCATCCACCGCTGCATCCACCGCTGCATCGCCTGACGACCGACTGCCGCATCCCACGGCGCCCTCGCGTAGCCTCTCCACCAAGGCCTCGCTTTCTCCACCAAGCGCCCACCATCCCATCGCGGCTAGTCGGCGCCCGCCCACCGTCTGTGTCACGCCCCCACTCCTAATCAGCCTCACTGCTGCTGCCGACATCATATCGGACCACTCTGCCGACGGCCCTGGTCGTCTTCTTCTTCTACCTGCCACCGCCCGCTCCCACTGCAATCACACCAGACTACACCCCTACACCTACTTCCACCACCACCACCGCCCACCGCACACTAATCTAATCAATCACGCCGCCCGCCTCTGCTTCTCGCCTACCCACTGTCCCGAATTTTTCGCCCACCATGCCTGGCCACCTCCGCACCCGCTTAAAGCGCGTCCTCACGGCCGGCTCCAACAAGCTGGCCAAACCCGAGGAGCCAGAGTCGGACTTTTACAAGCCTGGAGAAAAGATGCCCCCGCTCAAGTACCGTCGCGCCGTCGACCCCGAACACAAGAAGAAACTCGAGGCCTTTAGCTTTGCGACTGCCTGGCGCCGCCACAGCAACGCCTCGCTGTACTCGCCCATGGGCAGCCGGCTGCCCAGCCGCCGCAGCAGCTTCAGGAGACGCAGCCGCAGCCGCAGCATGCACCGCAGCCGGAGAGGCAGCTGCTCGTCAGAGTACGACCCCGAGTCCGAGTGGGTCGACAGCGGCATCGGCGCCAGCATTGCCGGCGACGACCGCCCGGCCAACATCAAAGAGGCGTCCGACGACGAAGGCGATGTGCTCAATGGTATGTATAGCGCTTCGTGCGTGTAGCAGGACGCCATGTTGACGTGCCCAGTCGGCCTCTCTCGTAATCCTACCGAAGATCCTCGCGACGCCCGCCGCAAGCAGTCACAAGGCCCCGGCCGTACTAGTGATGCTAGACAACCCTCAAGACCAGCGACTGCATCAGACCGCACCCGCCAAGCCTCGCAGCCCTTCTCCGCGGAAGAGCTGGAAATGGCGCTGCAGAAATCCCACCTGGCAGCCACGAGGGAAGAATCAGACCGGAGCGCAGGCGAGAGCCCGTTTGAAGACTTTGACGACCCGAGCCCGTTCCTGCGACCGCGTGGAGGATCCATCTACGTGCCCTACAACGGCCAGGGCACGCCGCCCAAACTGCCCTTCTGGGGCACCGCCTACCCCTCGTGCGACGACACCCTCTCGGCCGGCCACTTTTCCAGGCGCGCATCCGTCTTTCTGTCGCCCGACGAGTCGTGCACACCACAGTACGAGGGCGGCGAATCCTACTTCTCGCACGCAGACGCGCCCGGCCTGTCGCAGGCGCGCCGCGCCTCCGTCTTTGTGGCTGCCGACGACAACGTGTGCGCATGTCCGACGCCGCCTCGTGAGGAGCCGAAGCGCAAAGTCCACCCCTGCGCCCCCTGCGATGCCGTAGCAGCCATTCTCGCGCGTCCTGATTAACCCTGTCCGTCACGAGCACTCTTCTTTGGCCTTCATTTCGCTGTCAATATTCGATGCATATGGATTTCCCGTGTACAGCATTTGCCTGGCGTTTTTCCCATGTAAGAACCCTCGGACTGGTTCCATGGCTTCGATCCAGGTTTTAGGCGTTTTTTTTTGTATCTTTGATTTTCTTTTTCGACTACATGCATTGGGGTGGACTTGTCCCATAGACGCTATCTGTCCACGACATGGGCATTTCCACAGCTACACGCGGGATTTTTCTTCTCCTTCTCCTTCTCCTTCTTCTTCTTCTTCTTCTTTTGACATGGGCATGGGATGCCTCACCCAAAAAGCATATGAGCTATAGTATAGACAGCGTGGATAATACTGGAGAGACGGACGAGAATGTAAGATGAATCCAATACTACTAGTAGAGCGGACGTCCAATGATGGACGCTGTTTTCCCGAAAGTCTATTTTCCTTTTTTGTGCAACGGCAGGGCAGCATGACTGGCTGGCAGGCGGTACGGCGAGTGCACAGGGCGGCGGCTCCATGATTCGGGGCTACTACAAGCAGACTAGCCATGCATGCATATCCCGTGATGACGGTAACTGGTGCGGGAGCCCTCAGCGAGTGTGGTTGACGCAAAGTCAGGTCGCTGAGCCTCACTTGTGCTTGCGTAGTCTTGTGTTGGGCATGGCCAGGCGGGGGAGGCAAAGCAGCATTCCCATGGTGGCGCACGCACCACCTTCCCCAATGACCTTCAGACACGCACTCACACTTTTGCGCTGCGCTGCACGCTCGTCGGCGCCGCCCCGTGCACACACGCGTCGCATTGCGTTTTTCCCCTCCCCCCCCCTCTCTTCCCTCACTCTCCCCCTCACCCCCTTCCCCTTCCTTCGCCGCCGTCATGCTCGGCAGCCGATCCCGCCCTGGAATCCCTTGTCCTGAATCATTGTTTTCCCGCGCGGCCCATCTACACCTAAACAGAGACGCCATGGCATGGACCACGAGCGCAAACGAGCGCGCTGACTTCCTGTTCAAGCCCGTCATCTATTGAATCACTAGTACCACAGGAAGGGGGGGGGGCACGCTGCCATTGCCGTCGTTACGATTTTTGCTCGTGCGGTCGGGCCTTCCCATTAGAGTTGCAGTTACATACATACAGTACACACACTACGCAATTGGCGTGGGGTAAAAGTCGGCAAACAGGGGGCCTGCCTGTGGTCTAGCCCGATTGGGCTGCTATCCTTTTTTCCCTCCTTCTCTTCTTTCTTGTGCATATGCAAAGCCCGTCGTCGTACACCTGGTCATCGTCGCCCTCCGCCCTCCATCCTCCGTCGCCGGTCGAGACTCGTGCTCACACACACCCACCCATGCATCCGCCATGCCACAGGGCCCAGCATATCGGAAGCCGACGCAGGACGCATTCCCTACACATGTCCCTCTTAGGTGTACAGGGCGACCTTTGCTCCGCTTATTTCCATGCTCGCTGCAAGCACTGGCCGAGCCAGCATCCGACAGGGCGCGTGTGGGCTTCGCATCTATGTACACCTATGGTAGGCGTACACTTCTCCTACACCCAGCGGCCCTGCCGTAACATGGTTTTCTTTTTACCCTTTTCGGCAAGCCTACATAGACTGGTACTCCTAGTGGGAGCTGGCCGGCAAGCCTGATACGGCGCATACGGTTGGAGCGTTCAGATGCCGATGCAGCGCCAGTGCCAGTTGGCGGCATGGATTGCGCGCCGAGTGACGCCAACGGAAGAACCATCCAAACTCTTCAGCGGGGTGGCTGGCTGGGCTGGTTGGTTGGCCCCATGTCGGCACCAGGCGGCGGAAGGGTGGGGAGGAAAGGACAGCTTCTCATCTGATATTCGCATTGGCACACGCACACGCACACGCCCATTGGCATTGGCAATACGCATTGGCACACAGCACGCAGCATCGGGTAGCAGCAACATGAGAGGATACGCGTGTGTGTGCGCAACATGTCTGTGGTTGGCGGGATGCGGGAGAAAAAGCGGAGAGATTGGCACACACGACCACGACCCTCACCCACACACACCCACCCACCCATCATCATGCCCCACGCCCACGCCTTACCCACACGCGCACGCCTGGGGCAATCCACGCGAACGGCTTGCCTGTTCAGTGTGTCCCGAGTAAGACGTATGTAAGAAGCAGGTAAGCAACGCCATTGTCCTTCCGGTTTCTGGCGACGGCTTGCCCCCCAGCTGGATAATGCCCGTCCACTTAACCGTCCACCTGCCTAGGTCTATCTATCTACCCCCGCGTCTGCTGTCATGGCACAAGTGCAGTGCAGTGCAGCGCATTGTTCGCTTGTTCGCTTGCGTCCCGGATCGGCTCTGCACTATCAAGTACCTACACCATGGCTGTGTTACTAACAGGTAATGTAAGCCTGTGTCGGTCCGCCCGCCAGCCCGCCCGCCCGTCCGTCCGCCCAAATAATTGTCTCGGCATCGGTATTGGCATTGGCATTATCATGGCGGACTCAATCAATCAATTAGTCAGACAATAAGCCAAGTAGCCAAGCAATGGCGGGGAAGTGGGACGGCAATAAAGCACAAGAGAGTATGAGGAAAAAGCAAGAAAAAAGAAGTCTCTCATAGAAAAAGAACGCGAGCTTTTTTCTGTTGAGGAGCAATAGATTGGACGGATACCATCCCAATCCTCGCACGTCTTCCCATTTCCCCGTTTTCCGGATCCCGTTTTCCCTTCTACAGGTGCACGTTTTTTGTTCTCCGTTTTCCTCAATTCCTTTTTCTTTTCTCCCTTTCAGTGACGAGGCAAAGAAAAGTAAAAAGTGCAAGCAAAGGAAAGACAGAAAAAAAAAGAAGATTAATCGAAGCGGTCTGCGTCTGTTTTGTTCCACGTCCATTTCAGTTTTTTGCTTTTTGCACGCTGGATCTGCATTTCCGCAAATGCAAGTGTGCAAATCTTTCGTACTGATACATGCACATGCATGCATATATACCAAGAGCTATGCGGAGTTTTTCCTTGGCTTGTGAGATCTTCAGGCTCATGATCTTCAGGCTTGCCCGCCCTCCCCCTATGTTTCCTCTCTCTTTTTTTTTGGTATTGTTGTTTTCCCGGCTGTTGGAAACAGATGCTGTGCTGCTTTTTCACTATGGCTATGACTGTTACTATGTTTATCATACAGACTTGGAAACGTCGTCATGATGCACGTAGTGAACATGGACGTTTAGTGCTTGTTTTTTTCATTTGTTGGTTGGTTTGTTGGTTGGTTTGCAACAGTGCTGTGGCTTAGCACATCATATCCACTTGGTCGTGGCTTGGCTTTGTCACGGCAACCAGCAACCTGACTACGTACTAACGCATGTAAAATCTTGTCTCGGATGTCGCCCATCCGCAGAGAGAAACTAGGAAAACACACACACACACACACACACATAGATTCATCGACCCTATTACCCTTTCAATTTTGAAAAAAAAATACATGTACAACTTTCGTGACAAAAAAAAAGCTTTCTATTCTCGTCTCGCATCCTCGGATACAACGGCAGCCTTGCTTCTTTTTTTCTTTTTTCTTTCTCTCTTCAATAGCGTGTGTGTGTGCGCGCGTGAGTGAGTGTGTGTGTGGATGCTCACCCTGCATTTCGCAGCACCCTAAACCATTTTCTCTCCTCGCACTCCTGCTCCCACTCCTTCGCACAAAAAATCCTTCGGGGGGTCTCGTACCGCGCGTTAAAACCAACATGGCGTGCATACCTTCCTGCATGCATGCATGTCTGCACATGTACACTAGGTGTACATAGGTGTACTACATGCTACCAGCGGCTGCCAGCGGTTTCAACAGGCACAACGATAAAGGAATTCGATACCAGAAGCAGAAAGG